GGGCAGTACAAAAGATCAAGGAGACTTGCTCGGACTTTGGTCGCGCCTTTGTGGCCGGCGAGAGGGTGGTTAGTCGAGCTTAGAAATCTATCAGAAGACGATCCACTACCCCTCCCACAGTGGTCCAACCCGTTTATCCACCCTTACAGCAAATTGCCTTATCCAACATCAGACAGATTACGTCTGCACAATTGGTTCGTCTTAAAAAGGCCTTAAGTGCAAAGGGCTATTTTGCACGAGCAGCAAAAGCTATGACGTTAGCTCATCGTCCATCTACTAGGTCGTTCGAAAGATTTTGCAAGGCAAGAAGTCAAGACCCTACAACTGCTTCACCTCTGTTTTTAGTTGAATACCTACTACATCAGGGTTAGAATTTAATTGTTTTAGGCACAATCAAATTTTTGCTTGTGGCTTTAAAAGTTAAAAGCAAAATAAAAAATCAACAAGCAATTATTTTTCTCAACTCATAACTTCAAAATAAATATCACAAGATTGCATGATCATGATTTATGCTGCATATAAATAATGGCTGATTATGCATGTTATGACATTCGGATAACAAAGTAATTAAATTACACTCATAAAACATTTATCAGAGAAGATATCTGCATGTTTGTAAAACATCTTTGCTTGTTTATAAATATGAAAGTTATGTTTATCACATTATTTAAATTATGCATTTACAACTTAATTAAGTTCGTTGAAAATAAAAAAAATGTAAGCTAACACATTCATAACGTCCAGATTAGGGACCAAGGAAGCAAAAAATTGACGATTTTAACAAATAGAATCTAAAAGATTTCATTAAAAAAATTGTTTACGCAATTGGAAAAAATATCTCAAAAAGAATTATAAATAGATCTAGTATCTGTCATCACCCATTTCCCAATAACAGTGGCTGTCCGCTCAGTAACATGAAGAAATACCTCTGTTTTCGAATAACACATTCGTCGAAGACTGCCATATGACACCTTGCTAGAAAGCTTCGATAAATTGGTTTCAAAAGGAGCTTTCTTTGCCGAAATCTGCTACAAGGTTTGTGACTGGTCAAATCTGAACATGTGACCTCAGTCAGCCTATCAAATTACATCTATGGTATGACGAAAGATTTTTGTTAAATTGTGTTTTTCTGAACGTTTTAAGCTGGAAATTGCAATCTATATTAAAAATATGGAACTTCATAGATGTATCGTGCTAGGTTATGAGCTATGACAAAGATTTTTCATTTGTCCAGATACCACAAGGAAAGCGTGCTCTACCTGTTGCTGCAGTTCCCCTACCCTATAAATAGTGAAATTCAAGTTTCAGACACGTGGTTGCATTTTGCTCCTGTGTGAGATTCTCCTTCCAATAGAGGTTGAAAATCAGCCATGGTGAGGAGAAAGTTAACGAACGCTGAAAGATAGCAAGTGATAGGCATGAAAAATGCTGGCATGTCATGCAGGGCCATTGCAAGACAAATGGGTCGTCATCACAGTGTTATCACTCGTTTGATTGTCAAACATGGTCAAACCAATGATGTCAATGACAGGCATAGTTCTGGTAGGCCAAGAAAGACCTATAACAGAGGATAGACGTCTTTTCAGGATAGTCAGACAAATCCATTTGCCACTTCAACAGATTTAAGACGGCAGTGGATTACCCATCAGAGACTCTTGACGATGACTGTAAGGCGTCGCCTCAGAGCGGCTGGTTATAACGCCAGAAGACCAGAAAAACGTCCTCAACTGACTGAGAGGCACATGCGGAATCGTCTGATATGGTGTCATGCCCATAGTCGATGGAACTTGGCCAACTGGAGAAGGATCCATTGGTCTGACGAGTGTCGAATCCTGCTACAAACTGTTGATGGTCGAATACGTGTTTGGAGGCAACGTAACACTCGTTTTGCACCAAGGAACATCCAGAAGACCTTAGCATGTGGTGGGGGGTCTGTCATGATATGGGGTTGTGTTTCCTTCGGCTGCAAACGTCCGCTGGTGACAATTCGTGGAAACCTGAAGGCCAACAATACCAAGATGCTGTTCTTCGTCCAGTGGTAGTCCCTCATTTTGACAACCATCCTCTTCAGACAAGACCTGTTTACATGGACGACAATGCTAGACCACACAGATCTCGGGCAGTTTTGGCTTATTTGCGTCAAGAAGCTATTGCCACTCTTCCTTGGCCGGCCTGTAGTCCGAATCTTAATCCAATTTAGCATCTCTGGGACATTCTTGGCCGGAAAATCAGACATCGTGATCCCCCAGTTCAAAATCTCGCTGGACTTGAAGCTGCACTTCATGAAGAATGGATCCGTTTGCCTCAGAGAAGCATTCAACGACTTGTAATGAGTATGAGACGTAGGGTTCAAGCTGTGGTCAATGTCCGTGGATCATACACACGTTACTTACGTTTCTGTCTTGCAATAGACTCTGCACTCCCTAGGGTGTCTATGTGACACCTGATATGGTCTGCTGATATGACAGTTACATGACAAAAAAAGTTTTTCAATGTTTTCTTATCCTTCAATTTCAGGTCTTTGGTAAAATTCCTTTATGCTCATATTCTTTTGGAACACAAGATAAACTTGCTTTGGGACAACTTTTGCATCACATTAGGTTTACATATACGGCTTATAACAATCGTACATCTCGTTATAATAGTCATCATTATGTGCCAAAAGTAACAGCTCACAAATATGGTGGGTGGCGCTTAACTTTTGTGCATGTGTATATATTAAAAGATTTGCTTGAAACGTCTTTACATTGCTCTTTGGCATGTTCGATGTGGACCCGTTCTTGATGTTTTCGAGATTTTATTTTCAATAACATTGCAAGAAAATTTGAAAAGTTTTTTTAATTTATTGATAAGAAATGATAAATTGAAATGGAATACGTATTTTAGACATTGTGAAATGTGATAGATTTAGTAAATGAATGATATGACAGGTAGGTCAGGTATATACTATTTTGATGTGACTACGGCTTGGTCGGTCAACCAGCCTACGGGGTGTCCTCTGGGGATGCGAGGATGGTAAGTCATCCCCCAAAAAAAGAAACTACCTTGGGTCAATTGAATAAATTACCGATGACATAGTTTTTACGGCATTTGATTGGCCTCTCGAAAATAGACATACATCATTTGCATAATGTTAATCTCTGTGCTATATGTTCATTGGTCAAAAAGAGCTCGGAATAGTCCTCGCTCACCAAAGTTGAATGGAGAGAAAGGAAGTAAAAGGTTTTCCCGGGAAATGCAAATGAGGAGGTAACTCTAAACTGTAGGTAAACAAATCAAGAAAAATCTTCGCGAAATCAAAAATTATCACAGTGAATTTAGAAATCTAGGTATTTCTCAACAAAATTGTGAAACGGGGAAAAAGCAAGACGCAAAAAATAACGTCTTTATTTTTATTTATAGACGCAAAATCATAAATTCAGACGCATTTTGCGTCCCTTAATTTCGAACCCAGTACAATTGCGTACCCAAGGACACTCGAAAGGTAGCACCATTACCGGTACTTTGTATTTGGTTGCACTTAACTCAGTGTTGGCTGTTCCGGATTATCGCAAGATGACTAAGGTCCCGGAACTACAGGCCTTATAACACTCATTCAGGCTTGAGGATCAAAAGGCCTAGTTCCACCCGACTGCGTGGGACTTTAATGTAGTACTTTGAGGTTTGCGAGGTCCCCCCTTTGAGCCCCTCTATGCATCCTCATTTTATGACTGCACCAAAAAAACAGTATTTCCCTTGGTACTAGCCCCGGCGCCCTGGGTTCATTTTGAGCATGGGATGCACGAAGCGGTGCATCTCAGGTTGTGCTGAGATTTGATTGCTAAGAATCAATTACCAGGCCAACCTGATCGTTCCTTCACCATCCCACCAATATTGACTTTTGTTGGAAGAGCCTCTGCACAGCAATTGTGCTATTAAAACAATCATGAAAGGATGTTTTTGGAAGTCCGACACAGTTTTCACCAGTCATTATCTTTGCAATGTGACTCTTGAGGACGTCGAAGGTGTACAGAATTTTGGGCCCTGGTTGTAGCCCAGAAGGTTACCAACCCCGACGCAAATAATGAACTCGCCCTATACAGAGCCTTTCCATTTCCGGTGCAGTCGATCAGATTTCGCCAGTGGAAGAATATTAGACAATCAATTGTCCACAAGGCTCTATATTGTAGTAAGTAAAAATTTGGCAGATGAGCTATTTGTCTTTATTACTAAGATGTATAGGGAGCTACTCTTTAATTCCTATGCTCAATTCTTTTTCACATTGAAATAACCTGACCGTTACAGCGTTTTTCTGAACTTTCTTCGCTTCACGGTTTATCGACCAATTGGTGTCGTACCTTCAGGGTGTTAATTATTGAGGTTTCTGTATTTTGAGGGTTTCCTACCTCCAAAATGTCCGATACAGATGCATTAAGCATGTTAAGTAATAATGCAGGCTAAGTAAAAAAAATTAGTAAAATCGAAATATTTTTTACATTTGTATACTTATCCTGCATTACTACATAATACCATAATAATACCTTAAGCCCACCTTTCACAGACTTGCCTCCCCACTTTGGCATCAGAAACCTCAAAAGTATGTCTTTCTTAAGCTCAGGCAACAGGCAGTGATGTGAAGAGGTGACCTAGGGTCACGGAGGTCACAGGACAGTGGCGGTGGGTGTGAAAAGTAGGATATAGAACAGTTCCTTATTTCTTTGCCCAGAACCATCGCCGGTATGTTGTCCCGTTTCTTTGTCGCAAGGTAAGCAGTGAATGCATTAAGGAGTAATGCAGGATAAGTATACAAATGTAAAAAATATTTAGATTTTACTCATATTCTCAACTCACTTCACTGGAGATGTCACCATTTAAATTTCATGCGAGCTACATCATGTACAGAGCCTTATTGCTTCCTTTTCTATTAGTGTTTTTTGTCCATTTACAACAATTTGCTTCAGCAGTTATTTGATTATTGAGGTTTTGTTGAGATATGTTAATAATATAACTTTTTTTTTCAGCCAACATCCAAAAAGAGGAAAGTTGAAGTCTCATCTGGCAATGGCGAAAATATATCTGGTATTGTAGTAAATAAGTAGCTTTCCTGTGAAACAGGACTGCTTTTAGTTGTTGTTAAAATGTGACCGCCGTGCCGTTTTACAATGATTTTTCTTTTTTATGACTAGGCCAGAAGAAGTTATTGACACTAGAGATTCTTTAGGAATTGACTTTCACTTTGTGTGAGTTCATTGGAGTATGAATGTTGGAGCTATGTCTGTCAAAGGTCACTGTCATCTCTAATCTTATTGTGAAACATGGTTGTATAATTTATTGCCAGTTACTGTTGCACTTTTACTTTGACTTTGGTAATTGTTGGATTATATGAAGTTGTCTTCTTTAAGGTCAAAGTTTGAAAATAATATTTTTTTACTAGTTATACATGGTGGCACATTATAAGTCAATAAGCTTTGAGGAAATAGCAGTGACTGGGCTGCTTCTGTTTTTGCAAACACCTCCAGTTCATATTAATGCTTAACAGCAAACTTGAGGCTGTTTGAGAATGTTAAAAATGAAAAATTGTTCTTTTTCACATGCTTTGATTTACTTAGATGTAAATGCTAGGTTTGTGTTACTGTTTTTAAGTCCAATAGCAAATCCATAGCAGAATAACCCCTTGTTCCTCATTAATATGTAAGAACTGACAAGTTAACTTTGGCGTTGTTCCACAAAACAATCTTAGTGCTACAACTGTCATACTCCTATATTTCCATACCTTGTCATAGTCATACAATAGTTGTGGTACTGAGATCGCTTTGCAATCATGGAGGATTGTGTATTATTGTACGCTATAGCATGGATTTTTGCTCTTACATTTTCTGCAGGCATGTTGATGGACAAAGCCTTCAAAATTTGGTTTAATGTTGTGTTCAGAAGTGCAATTGCTCTGTGGGGATTGTGGGTTAGAATTGGTCCCCAGCAATCTATGCTTATCGTAAGATGTGACCAAATGGATTAGGTGGTCAGAGTCTGTGACTTGCTTGATGGCCTGTCATTGTACCCTGATCGGCATTGATTGTTATTAACAAAATCAATCTCTTTATTGTCAGTACCAAACTCTATGATTTACGGGCCTCCATCAAATAGCTGGAATATTGCTGAGTGTAGCATTAAACAATAAACAAACGAAACAAATAAGTGCAATTTGTTTTGTCAGTTCAATAAGTAATGCTGATATGAAGGTTTTTCCTGCAGTGGATGTGGTACAAGTAAAAGATGTTGATTTTAGAAAAAATGGCCCAATGTCAGCACACTTTCTATTTTGTTCTCCAGGGACCAGAGTACTTGCTCTTCCCAATGGATTGGCTCCCTGTAACAAACACATTGTTGATTTGTCGGAGAAGATGAAACCTTTAATAAGGGATCTTATTGAACATGCTAATTTGGTGAGTTGACTTTGAAGTTTTTGCAAAGTTTCAGATATTATTGCTTCTATATTTATGTGAATAATCATTAGCAGCTCTGTGAAACAAGACTGCTTGAAGTTTTTGTTGGATTTTCACTATCACTGGTAATTTTTGTAATGACTTGCACAAAGTTAATTGACTTTTTCCAAATGACCCTGGTGTCTTTTAGCATAGATTATTCAAAGGTCACAAGAAGGAAAAGCTGAAAATGGTGTGTGTGGTTACACCCTTTTAAACTTACCCTATATTACACTATGCATATTTTCTTTGTTCCTATGTGGAAATGTGCTTAAACTCTGTTTCCAGTTTCTAATACAAAATTATTTGCCCGAACACATACCAGCATCTCTGTGGTTAATTTCATGCTCTTGTGCTCGGTAACCTTCCACGCTTTGACCACGTGCGTCTCTCTACCAACTCATACTCTTTCTTATCGCCACCGTGTCCGGCCTGTGCTAAATGCCAACATACTTATTCTACATCAGATCCGAACAAGTTTTGCTGTAATTGTTGTAACCACTGTAACGTGTATCACTTTGTATAAGGTGAGTTTTTTGCACCTAGAATTAGGGGCCTTTCAAGGGGGGGTCGTCTTATACACAGGATTGAAGAGCTGAATCCTAACACAAAGACATTACTGTGAGCACGTAACACCGTAAATACCATATCAACAAATCCGTACTGAACTATGCAAACTAATCATGTAATAACACTGTCTGGTTATAAAAAGTGTTCATTGTATATTTGGACTTACATTTGTAATCTGCAAAATTTATTAATTTTATTCAAAATTTCATTCAATATTCATACAACTGAACATTATTTACAGCAACCATGGTCAGATTAACGCTATTGATGCCTTGAAACGAATTTTAGTAGCTAGAGAATGTATATATATATCTTAAATGCCATACATTGACTCGCTGAAAGTCATATTTGTTGTAGTTTGACTATTCTGTCAACATAAATGTTTTTGCTATCGCGAGTGCAGGAGCAATGATGTGATTGGTCAAATTGTTCCATGATATATAAAAACATATCCAGCAATAGCGATCAGCTTATGGTTATTAATTTGTTTCAAATATATATACATAGAAATTAGAGCCAGTGGAAGTATCCATGTTATGACAATTATGCGACGTACTACCTGAGATACGGATACCCATACCCTCCAGGATTTGCAGATTACCGATCCACTACAGACCATGATTGTTTTCCGCTTCATCATCCTCATACTTACAGATATAATCCTCAAACTTCCCAACTTGTGGATCGACATTCACCACCAGACTTAGATCGGGCACGTCACCACTCCCGAAGTGGCTCTAGTTCGGCACCAAAATCACAAAGTCCGGATTCCTCCTTGTTCGATCCCGATCTCAGGCTCTGATCTTACCCACAAGTTAGAACACTGCGATCAGCAGTGCGGGGAACATCTCTTTGATTCCTTCGTTCAGGTAGTCTCCATGGCGATCCTAAAATGTTCGGGTCTCCCATCAATAGACCTCGGTTCAGAGCAAGCTCCAGCCACCTCTCACTCAGCCCCTTGGACCTGTGGGTTTGGTCTTGACAGCGGTCGATCCTACTCCACCAGTTACAACAGTGGAAGACGCACACCTACCAAGTGGTGTAAATCTGCATCTCTCTGCTTCCTGCGACCCCCAGGTTTTATTCACCAATCTTCCTTGTTCCAGAAAAAAAGACAGAAAGCTTAGCTAATCTTCAACATGAAGATTTTCAATGCAAAGTATTTGGAAGTTCCGCATGTTTCATGTTCAATCTTGAACTGCAAGATGTTTATCTGCACATCCCCGTCCACGGGCGCACCACCATTTCCTTTGGTTTATTTTCCAAGGCCACCATTACCAGTGGAAGGTGCTCCTGTTTCAAATTTCCCCTGCCCCTTGGCTATTTACCCTCCTTACTCGGCCCATAATTAAATTCCTTCAACTGTGATGGATCTTGTTCAATGCTTTCCTATATGATTGCATTTGAGCGCACGCAGACCCTGATATCCTTTGTCAATAACTCGATTTCACGTGTCACCGTTTACATTAGCTCAGCTCGTTGATCGACATCAACAAATCCAAGTTCGTTCCCCCTCAACGACTACAATTTATCTCTTTGACACTCGATAGCCATGATGTTTGTTCCACACGACCGTTGGATGAAGATTCAATGGTATGTTCCATTACCACTCAAACAACCACTCCAGCTCCCACAGACAGCTTTTGGGTCTCCTGACGTCAGCGCAAGGTCAGTTGCATCAACAACCACTTCAATGCTTTCTTGCACCATTCATCAGGATGGACGATTGTTTAATGCAGATCTCCCTTTTGATCCATCTCCACCAACATCTTCAATGGTGGTTAGTCTTATCTTAATTTTTTCTGGCAGAGTCTCTTTCAGGCCGTTCGTCCCCGTCCCTTCATGTGTTTGTAGATGCATCAACCATAGGTTAGGGAGCGCATTTTCAGGCATCAGGACGTTGGTACACCAAGGATTGTTGCCTACACATCAACAATTTTGAGTTCAAGGTGGTCATTGTCGCAGTATTGCATTGGGCCGAGCCTCTACACTCCTCTCACCTCATGATACAGTTCAACGACACTGCAGTAGAGTGGTACATAAACCGAATAGGATCCATGAAGTCGATGTCACTTCCGTTGATCGCTATCGAATTCTTCCAACTCATCTTCTCTCAACATCTAGGTCTGTGCCCGCAATATCCCAGGGGTCTCAATTTTTTTGCAGACTCCCTGTCTGGGCCCGATAGACTGTCACCAACAGTCGTCCCTGCACCCAACGATCTTCCAATGGATCTGCCAGTTATATCGCCCCTCAGAGATAAATCTGTTTGCCACCCGCTTCAACGCCCAGCTATCCAGATTCGTGTCCCCCATCCCAAGCCCACAGGCTTGGGATCACAATGCGTTGAAAATCATCCCATGGGAGTGCTTCAATGCATATGCATTCTCCTCCGGGTCCTGCTGAGGTAGAAGCCACCATTCACCTATCTCTGACTTTGGTTGTGCCCTATTGGCCAACATGGAAGTGGTTCCCCACCTTACTAAGGCTAGCTGACAGACGATTCTATCGTCTGTCGCTTCGAGAAGACCTTCATCTTCAGCCGCACTCTCAGTGGCTCAATCCAGCCCTTGCAAAGCTTCATATATGCGTCTGGCACATTTGCAGTAGTCCCTTTTCGCTGAAGGCTACTCAAAGCGAGTAATGAGGACTATCACTGCAGCTCATTGTGCATTTACCTCGCGCCTTTACAACCACAAGTGGTTAGCGTTTTGTGACATTGCCTAATACCTCAGCTTCACCCCAACAGCTTGCTGAGGACTTACATCACCAACACGTAAGCCTAACCGCTCTTTTCTGGCCACCTGCTTAGCAGCGATTAACTCTGTTATTGCTACTGTAGCGGTCATAATATTTCCGAGTCCTGTGATGGGATTCGAACCAGGGACCTTCTGATCTGAGGTCGGATGCCTTGTCCACATGACCAAAGAGGTTAACCCAGTCATCAAGCTGACAAGGTAGGGATGTCATCTGTGGGATTACTCCACGCCCTGCTACATACTCCCCCGACAACAGAAGGCATGTCCTGAACCGCATAGTAGGGTACTGAGGCTTATTTTGCTCAAATTCAATATGAACGTGTTCAGCCCCACGTTGGGCACCAATGCAGCGGCCATAAAATTTCCGAGACCCGTGATGGGATTCGAACCACGGACCTTCTGATCTGAGGTCGGACGCCTTGTCCACATGGCCAAAGTTTAACCCCGTCAGCAAGCTGACAAGGTAAGGATGTCATCTGTGGGATGACTCCACGCCCTGCTACACTACATATTCTGAAGCTGAAATCTCCACTGTGGCAGAACTCCCAATTGCTCATAGGTTCCAACAAGCTAGCAGGCCAATCTTCGACTCCCTGCATAGGACCTTAAAGTGATCCTAAAACACTTCACTTCCAATGTTTAAGAGCCACTGGTGGATAAGAACTTCGAGCCGATCACCCTAAAGACTGTATTTCTACTGGCCCTTGCTACAGCTGCTCGCATTACCGAGATACATGCTCTCCATGTCACCAGGATCCAGTTCAAACAATCCAGAAGAGAAAGGGGTGTTCCTAGGTCTTTGCTGGAATTTTCCGGCAAAGAATCATCTTCCAGGCAAGCCTGATCGGATAACCAGAAAGATCTCTCCCTCTGTCTTGTTCAAGAGCTTCGTCTCTAATTGACTGCATCTCCTCAACGTAGAAATCGTGGAAGAGACTCTTCATCTGCTGTCAACCACTTCCGTCTCGGAGATTTCCCACACTATGCTCTGCTTTTGACTTCGTTCCATCGACCTTCTAGCGTATACTTTTACTGGGCTGCCTCCGCCTGCAGCGTTTAACCCACACAAGACGCAAGGGGTTGCCTCCACCATGGCTTTACTCACTAATTGCACCCTCTATGCCATCATTTAAGAGTGCTTCTGGTAGTTGGGACCCATTTTTCGCCTTTTGGTTTCCTAGACCGAAAGGGGCGGTGGGGTAGCCTTGTGGTTAAAGCGTTCGCTCTTCACGTAAAAAAAACAGGTTATATTTCCCACATGGGGACAATGTGTGAAGCCCATTTCTGGTGATTTCCACCGTGATATTGCTGGAATATTGCCAAAAGCTGCGTAGCCACGATATTGCTCGAATATTGCTAAAAGCTGCGTAAAGCAATACTCACTCACTCACTCACTCATAGACCGAGTCCCTCTTGGAGGGTGGATTAACTCGAGACTATCCGTCTTCAACAATGAAGTCGCCAATAGCCATGTCCAATACTAAAGATAGAACAGTGTCTGGAACCTATATTCCGCTCACCTCTGCCTTGAGTATATGATGAGTTGGTCATGTTGGTAGAGAGACACACGTCAAAGCGTGAGAGGTTACTATGCACGAGCACGAAATTGACCCAGTTGTTGGTCATAACCATAGAAATGCTGGGGTGTTTTCGGGAAGATTTATTTGTTTTAGAAGCTGGAAACAGTTCAAGCACATTTCCACATAGAATTAAAGAAGAGTGTGAGATAGGATAAGTATATGAACATGCAGTTTATACTAAAATTTCCAATTTCTCAAAAAGTATAAACCTAATTATTATTAGTTTAAACCTGATATTATATTCCTAGCTTTGAAAAGGTTTTGGTCAAGATTAATCAAAGGTCAGATCAATGTTCAGCTTTCAGCAGAACACAGTTCGATCTTTGTCTGTTTCTGAGGCATGATTACAGGCATGGAACTTAATGATTACATGTTTCTTCTGAAATCCTATCACAATGAACGGCAATTGCATTTGTGTCGAAGGTCAGGATCACCATTGAGGAAATTTTCTGCAGAAGTGACATATTTTCTTGTAAATGGTACAAAGATTATTGCCGTGAAGATCAGGGGTAGAATAGGTCTTCAGCAACCCTAGCTTGCCATAAAAGGCGACTATGGTTGTCGTTAGAGGCGACTAATGGGATCAGGTGGTCAGGCTCTCTGACTTGGTTTGATGCATGTCATCATATCCCAATTGCGTAGATCGATGCTCTTGATGTCAATCACTGGATTGTCTGGTCAAGACTCGATTATTTACAGACTGCTGTCATATAGCTGGAATATTGCTGAGTGCGGCGTTAAACAATAAACAAACAAACAAAGATTATTGATAAAAGATAAGCTACAATGGTCTTACTTCACAACTGACTTGGGGTATTCTTCAGGCACATTCAGTGAGAAGGTTAAATTCACAAGTCACGAAATAGAAAGATTTCGCTTGAAAGCTTGTACTTACGTTTCTCAAAGTATTAAAGCATGTATCGTTAACTTGGTGTATACCTTTTCTAGGGTGGGTCACTGCTTTGAAAGGTTTTGGTCAAAGTAAGACAAAGGTTAAGGTTAGCATTTACCTTCTTGTGAAACATGGTTATATCATTGTCAGCTTCTAAGGTTTCTGTCAGCTTACCGATCTCCAGGCGTTGAACTTTATATTGCAAGGATCTTGGTAAGTCGCGCAATATCTATCTATTGTCAGTGTCATCCCTGATGTTATTGTGAAACATGGTTGCATCATTTATTGCCTGTTAATGTTGAACTTATACTTGTTAAATCCTGAGACTTTAGTAATTGTTGGATCGTAAAAAGCTACCTTAATTAAGGTTAGTGTCTGGAAGTAATATTTTTTTACTGGAAGTAAATGGTCGTGAGCTGATCCTTGTTTGTTCAAGTACTTGCAAACACCTCTAGTTTCATCAGTGGTTCTGTCATGTTTTGTACAGACAAAACTTTTAGTAAGTTTTCCCGTTATTTGTTATTCACATTAAAATAAAGTGGAATATTTTTACTGGCTCCTTGTTATGGGACAGGTAATCCAGTGGTCATTGAGCTGTCAGTTAAGTTACAGACCTGTGTGTTCTACCTTCAAAGTTGTTTCTATACTAAAGATACCAATTAACCCATTTTCCAGATCAAGATGTGGATCAGTTTTCTTATACCAAAGATAGAAGATGGCAACAATTTTGGAGTGTCTATTCAGGCAAGTGACATAGTGAATAAGTTTAACAAATACTTTATATATGTTGTGCTAATATGATATATGGATACCTAGTATTAATGTATTAATTTTATATGTATGTTTCTTTGTCTTCCAAATCTTTGTTGTTTATATCATTTCATTGGTTTACCTATTGTTCATATACCAAATTTCGATTGTCAATCACATAATCATAATATCAATAATCAAATGAAACCCTACATACTTTAATAGCATGTTATTAGATTATTTCAGATTGAAATGCAAAGGTTAGCCCAGAAATCAGTTTGTACAAAACTAAATTGTGAAATCAGTAAATGACCAAACACATTCCATGAATTGTGTAAATCTTGAAATTAATGTGTCTCCAAATTAATAGACTGCTGACCCCTAGCCAAAAATGCGACTCAAAGTCAATGCAACTCCCTCCCCACCCCATCCCCAGTAGAATGATACATAGCCTTAGCATAGTTCAATCACAAGGTAGACAGACTTGCTTGACAACGGTATAAAGATTTATACCGAAACGTCGTTTTTCACAGTATTAAAGAAGTTGTTATCCATAAAATTGTATCTACCTTTTCATCTGTCAACTTCTAAGTAATGCCTATCAAACAATTTATTGTCCAATCAAACAGCAAATAGCACTGCTTAAGCACTGAGTAAAGCACTTCTAAAATAACAAAAAACCAGTGTTTTCCTAAAAACAACACAGTTTACATGTTTATTCTGTTGACTGGCATTAAGGAAGTTCAAAGGCAATAAAATAATTATGCATTGCTGTTGCACGGTTCAACACCCATTTTCGAACCAGGGAAATGTGGACCCAACATGTCCAGTTTTCCAGGTGCCAGTAACCTGTTTCTGACAGAAACTTTGTAGAAGAGCAACATCATCAGCAAAGCCTCAATTATCCCCATAGTGAACTCTCTAAGATTTTTCACCTGCCACTGTTGTTTTTGGTAATCTCTTACATTTACATCAGGTTGGATCCAAGTTTTGTGAGGGAAAACAATACCTTATAGTATTGATTGGTGACATCTGGTGCATAGTGTCTGCAAAGGGGTCAAGCTTAGTCAGAAAGTACTGAAGTTACATGAATTAAACTTTTCATGCTTACCTAAGAGATACCTATCAAGACTCAGTTTGAAAATTGGTGGCATAATTGAAATTGTGTCCAGAGTTATGTCCCTTGCTATATGTATTTTTCCAATGTTAAGGTACTTACAATACTCCATGCTGCAAAATATATGTTGGAACTACATGCGTACACAAACATAGATGTAACTACAGTAATTAGTGAAATACATTGAACACATATGCATGTGCTACCTTTTGTGACATAAGAGGTTTTGGCATGGGCAGTGGCAAGCTTAATTGTTTGATGTTTGATCATTAAAAAAAACTGAAGGTTAGTGAACGACTGCCACAACTGACAACTTTACAAAGTCATGAGGCTATTGGAATGCTCCATGGAGGAATGTATCAACTTTAGGTGGCTGCACATTTCCATTTCCACCAATGCAGGATGTCCATGTGTCACACAGCGGTAGAAACTAACATTTTTGGTCCACTAGTCCTTATAATGATAATATATAGCAAAACCCTTTAAAATGGCAATTTCTACTAGTCCTTATGACAGTCCTTGGGCAGTTTGGCAAGGGGCCTATAGGACGAGTGCCAATTTCTAACCCTTTCACAATGCCAAGACAGGACAGATGGATATGGTCACCCATCGCCAATGACCACTGCTCAGACCATTCCAGGACTTAAGCGTATCCACCCAAACACAGTCAGTAACTGCTTACGTCAATACGGGATACGACCATGACCTATCCTGATGGACGTCAGTGTGGTTACAGATGACTTTGGGAGCGTTATGCTCAAGCCTCTGAATCATGGAGAGGAATCGCTTTGAAGGTGGTTCTGTGATGATATGTGGAGCGTGCTAAGTGTACGTCAGACAACCCCTTTAGTTGTTGTTCAGGGCAATTTGAAATTTGTGGGCTACGAAGATTCTCAGGCCAGTGACAATTTTGTTTCTTCAACGTCACTGCTCACGGTGGGAATACCCGTTATAGAGTTCTTAAAGTTTACATGGAAACTTTTCATTGTTATATTTTCAAATTTGGAGGGTAAATTCTAAAATGCACAGTTTCTTTTTGTGACTAGTATATATGAACAAATAAAATTCTCAATGCTGGGGATAGTGATAACTGTGTTTTCTTGTGTTTCTTGGAAATAGTATTTCAGTCACATTCAATAGAGGTGACCCTTCAAAATGTAAGTTCAAGGCAAGCATTTATATCCTTTGGTTGATCTGTTGACCTAGCATTTATTCTAGGTAGGTATTCATTCAGTTGACTTCTAAAAAACACACTACATTGCTTTTTCTTGCAGGAAGAGACATTATCTGAGGCAAGAACTGTTGAAAGTGAAGCAGCAACATACTTGGAGCAGATCTCACGCTATTTCATCACAAGAGGGAAGATAGTGTCAAAAGTTGCAAAGTATCCTCACATTGTAAGTTGACTTTTATATCTTGAAATATTTGGGCTGTAATCACACTGATTTGTTAATAATATTCATGTTTTACTCAAAGAATACAGGTTTTGAGTTAGTAAGTACATTTTTAGTGGGTAATGACATGACAGTGACTTTGCCTCTAGACATGATAAATAAGTATGTCCAAATGTCCCCTGTGAAACGAGGTAACCTAAAATTATTAGCTTCAGATTTCATAAAACAATCTGGCAGATAGCAAGGTTTGTTGGTTATGGATTATGACTTAAACATTTCAAACTTGATCAATGTAGCTTGACCTCCTCACCAGTGAAGCCTGTTGGGTCAGGTGTCAGAAATATATAAAACAGGTTCTGAAGTGGTGAGTTTGCTATTACCAGATTTTTGGCTTTTTCATTTTTCTTGACTTCCATGGAAACAATTTTTACTTAGTCTTATAAGGGGGTGGATTTCTTTTCTGGAGCACAATTAAAAAAAAGTAACCTCTCTTTCAACAAAAATTAGCAGATATATATAACAGGTCCTGAAGTGGTGCATCTTCCCGAGGCAAGTGAGTTAACTGACTATAAAAGTCCAGTTTCCACCCTTGCCTAACTAGGCTGGTATTATGGAGTTACATTTTGGCTGGACTAACGAGTCTATGCATAGTCCAATCAAAATCGCTCACCGAAATCGAAATCTGGTTCATAAACTGTCAAGCAGATTTCGGTCGGTTGCAGGATTTGCAAAGCATGTGCACCGCTAACTCGTTGTCAACAGATATTTTCTAAATCTTTTCATGTTTATAATCAAGGTGCTCACGTGGTTTGATGCATTTTGCGACGTAAGACTCGTTTTATCACAATATAGATCTTGATTATCAATCAGATTGTCTTGACTGGGCGCCGCCGTTTTGTTTGAAACAAATGCAAGTGATATGACATGTGGAATCTGATTGGTCCATAGGAGAGGCATAGACGGGACATAACTCATAATAGCCACTGGTGGCGCTCCGATCGAGCCCAGGAATTTCAACCTAGTTCGGCAAGGGTGGAAACTGGACTTTTAAAGCTAGTTAACTCTCTTGCCTCTTCCCTTACAATTTACAGATTTTTGGCATTATTATTTCTCTTGATTTCCATGGTCGTCACGATATGGCTGAAATATTGCCCATGTGACGTTAAATAATAACTCATTCACTCACTCACTTGATTTCCATGGAAACAATTTAGACTTAGTCTCAAAAGGGTGGGGGAAAGGTGTCATTTCCATAGCACAACATGAAAACTTTGAAAGATTTTTCATTTAAACCTGGTACATGTATTAACCAAGTGGTGCGTTTTGCTGTTTAGGAATTTTTCAAAATTTGATTTTTCCCTGTTTCGATGGAAACAAGTTAGACTTAGCTGAAACTGAGGTAGGTGTGGTTTCTGGAGCAGAACTAAAAAACTAGTAAACATTTTTCATCCACACTTGGTACATGTTTCCATGGCAACAAGTTTGATTTTGACTCTGATCTTGGTGGTGTATACCTGACATAGAAACACAAAGTTCAGAATCCCAATTCCCAAGTATTGTTTAGATAGATCAATAACTACTCTTGTATACGGATAAGATAGAAATCCTCTCATCAAGTTGGACTTAAAGTAACAGTCAGATGATTTGTTCTGTCAAATTCTTTGGGTCCGGGGGGATTTATCATCTTCTGATGTCTCTTGTTTACAGAGTTATGGCCCTTGCTCAGTGTTTTTCAACTATGTGCACAGTGTCTGCAATTGGGCCAAGTTTTCTCAGAAACTATCAAATTTACAAGAATGAAAGTTTACATGCTTATGTAAAGGATACTTGTCAAGATTGGGTTCGAAAATTGGTCCTGTAATTATTATTTTAAGAGTTACTTCCCTTGTTGCATTAGGTTTTGAGCATACACAGTTATGGCCCTTGATCCATGTTATTTTACAAAGTGCATAGTGTCTGCAATGGGGACAAGTTTTCTCAGAAACTACTGAAGTGAGTTTATCTAAGAGGTACTTATAAAGTCTAAGTTCAAGAATTGGTGCCATATATTATTTTTCAGAGAAGGGGCCTTTTCTGTGTATTATTTTCACAATTAATCATTTGTTTCTGATGACATGAAGCGACCCGAGTGCCTGTTTCTTCTTAAGGCTCTTTTTTTTATAGTTTATTTTCACTATTGATGAACAAATGTGTCCCATGGTGGGGGATAGTGATAACACTGTTTTCTTGTTTGAATGGTCAATGATTCAAAAGTCCTGGCCTTGAGCTCATGTCGTCACAAATTGTCCTTTGTTGTCTTCCGTTAGGGAGTGTCAATTATATGATATGTTTTTCCTTTGTCCCACAATTTCACTCAGTAATCCGAATTTATATCATGATTTATTTATGTCATATACTCAGGACCATAACTTTGGTCCTATATCATGTATATTTAAAGAGGTCCAGATTAATCTGGTTTTGACAGATTCCACTGTAGTTGAATTTGAGCATGTTTGTTTAACTGTGTGCTGTTTTCTTTTCTAATATTAAACAAACTGGATTGGTTGCAAAGTCATGGCCATTGAACTTCATCACACCCCAACTTTATATAAAGTTCCTGTCTCCCACACCTAAAAATGTTGACTGCAAGGAAGGAAGCTGCTGGCCATTCCATTTGACATGCATATGTAACTCTCTTAAACCACAACCCCATCGGGATTTATGGTCAGAATTGGTCATGGAGGCCACTTCCTAGCATGCCATTTCTGCTTATGATTTAAGTCACAGATCATGAGTTTTGGTAATAGGTTTCAGCATAATGTTCAACAAATGTACTGCAAAATGGGTCATCATGAATTGGCTTAAACATTGTATCAAGACAGTCAGACTTGAATCATAAAACACAAAATTAAACACTTTACTAACCCACTGTCACTAGGAACCTGTCAGCGATTGTTATTCCCAGCAACACGTTTTGACACTGACTCAGAATGAAGATTGTAGTAGTGTTCATATTCTGAGCAGACCTTGGGAACCATACAATAATTTTTCACCAAAGTTAGCACATAGATGGGTCTAGTGGTGAACTGGCACTTTTTGATATACTACTCAAAAGAAGTTAAGGATCACCCGATTCTTTCATATTGGTAATGTTAATCTGTCATGGCATGAGAGATTAACTATTGTAATATGGAAGAATCAGGTGATCCTTAACTTCTTTAGAGTAGTATAGTTTGAAATTATTCAAACAAATACTTTTCAAGATTCCATGGCATCAAGGTTCATATATTTATTCATGACAAGTATTTGCCATTGCGGGAGATATCAATGACTTTGTCCTCTTGTCTTTCTTAAATTTTTTACATGTTTATACATTGAAAACTCACAATCACAATAATATTAATACCCAGTGTTAAATTAGTGAATGTATTATCAGGTGAGCTATCATGGTTGACATGCAATTATACATGGATTAGCCTGTGAGAGTGTGCTTAAAAAACTAATGAGTCTCAAGACCTTTAACCTTTGATATATGTATGTTTGAATTACTTTTCAGGAAGACTATCGGCGATCTGTCAACGAGCTAGATGAGAAAGAGTATGTGTGTCTACGGTTAACATGTTGTGAACTAAGGAACCACTATGTAAGTTCACCTTGGGAATTAGTCTGTATTCTGCTTTGTTGGAATCAATTATTTTTGCTATCTTTGAGACATGTTTCTTTTGTCTAAAGTCTGTAACCCTGTGGTGACCAAGGTTATACTAGTCCCCAGCACACAATTGCTGGTCGTAAAAGGCAACAAAATTGGATAGGATTTGACCTAACAGATAGCATGTTATTGTGCCCTGTTTCAATAGAAAATGTCTCAAGTTTCAGTCACTGGTTTGTCTGGTCCGGACACCTATTAATTGTAGGCCTACATGACATATCTAGGACCACTAAATAAGTGGTCTGCTGACTGTTAAAACCCTTGAGGATCCGGGTTACAATAGGTCTTCAGCAACCCATGCTTGCTGTAAGTGGCAACTATGCTTGTCATAAGAGGCATCTTAACAGGATCAGGTGGACAGCCTGGTTGACTTATTGTTGATACATGTCATCGTATCCCAATTGCGTAGATCGATGTTCATGATGTCAATCACTGGATTGTCTGGTCCAGATTTGATTATTTACAGACCACCACCATATGGCTGGAATATTTCTGTGTGAGGCTTTTAGCAACAATTAAACAACATAAAACAATATTCACTTGCTCACTCATACACATTATAAGCATGTAAAGGCATATAATGCCATCTAGTTCTTTATGATGTACAACATTAATCTTATATCTTTTGTTTGTTCAGGCGAGTCTTTATGACATCATCCATAAAAATATGGACAAGATAAAGAAGCCTCGTAATGCCAATGCTGACAACCTCTATTGACCAACTTACTAGACATAGGCTGGACACCTTGAACAATATTCTCAAGTGTGGGCTGATACATAATTATTCGTGTCTGCCAGTCATACGACAGGACAACTGGCAAAGACAGAGACATCAAACAGTGCAGAGTCGGATATTTTCATGGCATACTATCAGTATTCCTTCAAGAAAAAAGACAAAAATTTAACTCAAATTCTTGATCACAGTGTTGATACAGGCACAGGTTTTGGAATGTAATGAACTATCTATGAGATCCAAACTCCTTGTACACATTCCAGGAAGTGCAGAGGATATTTCACCAGAAATAATAACATAATTGTTCTTTTGAGAGAAGTCTTCTACCGTAATGGGTTTTGACAAAATTACAAATAAGATTTTGTCATACCAGTGTTGTGTCACACATTTGGGATACATATGCACTGGGTAATTTTTTCAGTCATCTGATGCACACATGGTATTGTCGAGAAAGGGAGGAGAATGTCAGCTGTCACTGTCTGTGAAAGTGAAGGGGGTACTTGTCAAGCAATGTTATGTTATACCTTTCATCTTCCTGTAACCATGATGGTAATGTACAACTGTTTTAGCATTTACAAATTTGTATGTCTTGTTAAAACATTTCTCTACGGAGAGTTTTAAACTTTAAGTTCTACATTTTGGTATTTGGTTCTTGTTTTAACAGGTTTTACAACAAGGAAATACTTTAAACAAGTTTGTGACAGTTAAATATGTTCTTTTATGCTTGAAACCTTATGAATAGGCAAAACATTGGTAGAAGAATGATGGTGAATCCCAAACTTGATGAAACAGTCAATACATGTATTCATAAAGTGTTTTTCTTCTGTGATTTCTAAGACTAAGATATATATTTTTGTTACCAAAATGACAATGATAGCATTATTTTGGAAATATGTATTTAGTTCATTGGCAACCAATTGCTTAAAGGTTATTCCCGAAGAGCAACCTAGGCTTTAGGGTAAAAAGTTAAAGAAGACCTACTAAGACCTAGAAAGTCATCCACAGAAATTCATGTTGCTACTTTCAGAGATGCTAGCTTGCCCTCTTATTGGCCTTTTAGCACAACTTTCATACTTCTTTGGGCAAACTGTGCTAGTTTTGTTTGATATATAACAAAAACAAATGCACGGGGAATCTGGATAATGCTGACCTATTCGGCATGGCTTTTTAGAAATGTACTTTCACCAAAATCAGTGAGTCATTGCACTCCATATTCTGACTCCTGAATATTTCTGGCATCTTCCCTGGTGTTCAACAAATAGACTTAGGAAACTGAAATCAGACCTCTACTTATTTGCCCAATGTGGCAGGTCAGACTGGTGATAATGGATGGTTTCCAGGGGGTCATCAAGGCGTGGGATCCGCCATCCTTGATGGAAAGAAATTTGCTGAAAGGTCAGATTAGCATGTTCATGGTTAATGCATTATTGCATTTCCAATAACACTGTCCATATTCTCACTTTATCAAAAAGTAAATAGCTTTCATCTTATCTTGATACAAAATCTCAGGCCTCCAAGCCACTCACCCTCCACCAGAATATTAAATGGTCAGTCCCTAAGTACAACTTTTGGGACAACAGATTTTTCTGTTTTGATCTTTTTTTTATATATATATCTGCAAGTAAAATTATATCTGTGATGCATTCACATTATCATCAGATCTTGTACTAGATATGATATCTCCCATCATAACTCTCTGCATGAATGTCTGATGACATCTCTATGGAAGGTTGCATCGGGTGAACTTTGACCAATCAATCTGAATGAAGGATGCATGGGCTCTTGAGCCAATAAGATTTGCCTTCATTTCTTTACCACCTTGATTTTGAATTCTGTATTTCTACAAAAGAAGACACACATTGAGCACAAATATTCCTTTAATGGTATTTCCTTGATGGTGTGGAGGCCATGTCATTCATGACCAATCTTCAGATTTTCATGCAGAGAGGTATTGTATTGGAGTAAAAGATCTGATTTAAATGAGATTGATCTGTGATGTTAACTGATACAGTGGATAGTATCTCCTAAGGTTTGATATTTCAAGAACAGATACTGATTTTGGTATTTTTGGGAGTTGAGAACAGTTTGAAATGTTTTTTTCTTTCTTTATGGCCTCACCAGCGAAAATGACTTGAAGGTTTTCTTGTTACTGTTGAAATTATAGCTCTTCCTTTGTTGGCAGATAATTTTCATGTACCTATCATACATTCTCTTAAGGACATCTGTATGTTTAGGATCTGGGGTATATTGTAAACAAATAATTTGTTAAAAAACATTTGAAAATTCAAATTCGGGCTCCAGTTTTACCCAAAACATTTCTTCTCTGGATAATGTGGAATAAAAACATCTTGGCTCCTCCTTTCAGACCTAAAATGTGTCCTTGAAACCATGGAAAAAGGAAATTTTGTGCCTCTTGCAGGATTTGTACATGCTGACAATGCTCCATCATATGTAATAAAGTTTGACATTGCCAAATGACTCATAGTTTCGTATACAGTATTCTGTCAGGTATTGTTTATACATATATCGTAACAGGGGCAAAGGTGGTCCAGTTGTATAAGGCACCACAATTCGCTGTGCAGAGTTGCACCCCAAGTCATGCCAGAAACTCTACCTTTATTAGTTTAGTATACAGTTTTGCACCCATAATGGCATCCTAGATCTCTCCCCCAGCTTGCAAAAAGTGGAAGATTCATGATTTAGGGAGACCTCATCCTGCATGCTGGAAGTGGAGGGACAACGCCTGCATTGAAAAGACTTGTTGCGAGTTGTGCTCCTCCCTATCAACATTGGCCTTTGATCACTAAGGCTAGCAGGAAAGAGGCAGCAAGGAAGATCGCTGATGTCATATTCATTGTTATTACATTCAAGGGCAAACATATCGGGGTTTATAAAAATCATATGTGCCCTATGGTCATATCACATCACGAGACAATGTGTTGTTTCCGTCATTCGGAAGGCATTGTTGACGTCATTCGAATCTTATTGATATTCGGAATGACGTCCCACTACAAATGACGTCATTGCTGATGATTGTTGATGTCATCCAACAAATTGTGGTTCCACTGCTGTTGTGACTTGCTGTCCTTATTGACCTTTTTCACACTTTCGCCATCTTGGATCGAAAACGAGGCTTGGAGAGCATAGCTCCATGCAGTGAGAGTCGCATCAGCTCATAGGGAACAGACAGCATGTTGTGCATTTCACTGATGGACATTTTAAACAAACAAAAAATTTTATCCTCTGTATCTAATACGGAAGATAATTCACATTAAATCATGAGGTCCAACTAAAATATGCCAGTAATACACTGGAATTAGCATTTTGCTCTCAGGATCCCGGAAGTGAATCGAAAGGTGCATTTCGAGAAATGTATTTCAGAATTACATTGTTTTATCATAACCTCGTCAGCATATAGGTACAATGTGACAGTACATTCAATGACAGAAGTTTTGTATCGTAAATAAACCGCATAACATGAAACACGTCAGTGTACTTTTGCAAAATTGCTCAGTCAATGCGTGGCTTGGCGAGCTCTAGATCAAGATTGAGATCATGTTTATTTCACATTTCATAGTGGTGTTTGCTGCCCAACGCACTATCTTTTTGCCATGAGTCCAGTTGACAAAAGACACTTTTTCTGCTAAGATTTTCATTTTAACATATTACAATGTTAATTATAAACATAATTCGTGTGTCAAAATAAATTTTCAGAAGGGGCGATAACTCTATTCAGTGTGTACAATGACAGATGATACTTTCAAACATCACTTACTTAACTGATTATTGCCGATTGAGATTGCACCGTGCACGACAAAAGTAATAATGTGTGAACTGTTTAAAATAAGTTAAAAGGAAACTAAAAAATCATAAATATAAAAAATGTGTGAAACTGAAGAAATATAAGAATTGATACTACCAACTTCTTGAACACCCTCACCTAATCCTGTATGATGATATGTAATTGTATATCAAAAGGAAGCTACTAATACATTTATCCTGAAATATAGTTTGAAAATGTCTTGATCAGATATGAGTACAGATAAAATAACAAAAGATAAAAAGGAATCAACATCAATTGGTAATCAAGCCAAGATAAAATATATGTATCAGTACAAATTATGTTGATGGAACAATCTGGATTTCTCCTATTTAACAAAGAAAAACAAACCAAAATTTTCATATCTTTATTTCTCACAATATAAGTTTTCAAAACTTAACATGGACTGGGTCTCTTTGTCAGTCAAAAGCACCTAATTAAATTCCAGGAGAAAACAAATGGTACAATGTGCTTTTTTCAGTGTCCGATAAATATTGGCCATGTTGATTTGTGAGTGAATAAGGCTTTTCACTTCCTCGTCCTATTTAAGTGAAATGTGACAGGAAGCACATTTGTTAATTAAATGATTATGGCTTTTCACTTCCTCGTCCTTTGACAGGACGCACATTGTAACCATTGTGTTACTGTCAGCAGAAAGCTCCTCCAGACATCCATCACCGGATACTAGTACATCATTGTGTTGACTCGCTGGCCTGAAATGAATAATTCAATAATATTGTAATAATATTCCTACATCAATAACATTTTTTATAAACAATGCATATTCACCTTCTCTCAAAATATTGCTTATTTAGAAAACAACATTCTTCTGAAATAGAGAAGTTTAAGGAAACTTAATCACAGTGTGTAACATTACATGCTACTTAAGAACAATCTTGAAAGAATCAATTCATCTGAAATGTCGAAAACACAAACAGTATATTCTTTGTAAACAGTAAACTCAACAGATGCATCAATTTAATGACAGTGTACTACAGCTCTTTATATCAATGTCACACAGAAATTCACTCTTGTTTTAATGAAACACGTTTTGATATTTGTATTACCGGTATGTATTTAATCATGAAATACTTTGTTTAGTCTGACCATGTTGAAAACATACTTTTGCTGAAGTGAAAATCAGGTGAAATATCACGTTTTGTCACACCTACAGTCAGTCTGCCTCATTGGCACTATGGTTTTCTGAGTAAGGTCATGAGGATCACAAAGAAAATATAAGACTTGAATTTATTTTGTCAAATGCAATGTTTATCCCTTCATGTGGTTTACTAAAGTTGATATCTTGACTTGAAAATATTAGGGCGGTTGGGTAGCCTAGTGGTTAAAGCGTTAGCTCGTCACGCCGAACACCCGTGTTCGATTCCCGACATGGGTACAATGTGTGAAGCCCATTTCTGGTGTCCCCCGCCGTGATATTGCTGGAATATTGCTAAAAGCGGCGTAAAACTCACTCACTCACTCACTTGAAAATATTAACTTTGTCAGATCACAAGATGAAATATTATTAAACATATTTTATTGTCCAAAAAGACAAAGGGCAGCACTTATTACCGCCTTCTCCCTATATACAGTTATACATAATATTGCATAATGAAAATGAACAATTTACAGTTGAAGCTTCACATTGTGGAAACATAGTGCGCAATATATATACAGTGCTCATATGAAGGATATGTACAATGTGCTGGAAAGTGAAGACAGTGTGCATCTCATACATATCCTAATATTATACATTTTAGTGTTGAATATAGATTTAACAATATTAATGAATAACAGTTTGGAAACAATAATATGCTAGCTACTGATTCTGTTAGTCGTTTCTATAAATTTGTGTACAGACAAGAATATTTTTGTATTCAGGAAAACATCTAAGTTTGGATCACCAAAAAGAATACTATGCAGAGTTTTTTGCCCTCCAAGATTATCGATAGCTATCAGTAATGTCTCCCTAAAATCATCATATAAGGTACATTCGAAGAAGAAATGGAATGAATTTTTTAAAGGAGCATGCTATACAAGGAGAATGAGATAAATTCATGCTATCATCGTTATTTGACAAGGAAAACAAATTTCTTCTATGTATTTATATTTTTTTATTTTTTTCGTTTTGATTGAATTATAAAAAAAATATCAAAATGATCACACCACTTGACTTGATTGAAATAAACTAAAGTTCTAAAGATTGTTAACAATGGTAAAATCTTACACCATAACAATATAATTATTGCAAAATGACACAGTAAGCACAACTATATTCTTATATATAAATTGATATGATTAATAATCAATAATACATGGCAAGTGCTTGCACAAAAGAAATCTTTTTGTTTTAAAAGTTTCGAAACATGTTTGTGGACATAAAACCAGATGGGTTTCACAATTAAACAAAGGGAATAAATGAGTTATGATTGCAATACGCATGGGAATTAAAAATAATTCTTTTGATACTTTAAAATTTTAGTAATGTCAATATCAATTTATGCATTTGAAATATTTGAATACAAACTGTTAAAGAGTTATCTGTTTCTGTAAATTATATAAAGATCACATGTAGATTGAACATTTACTGGACATTAATTAGTTGGGTTTGTGTTCATTTCATGACATGATTAAATTGGTACAGTAAAGTAAATATCATTTTGATAGAAATATTAATTGTAAGCAAAATTGCAGATCAAACTGTACTCTACTTTAAATATTTACAAACCCTTGATGTAATAATTCAGTTGAAATATTACACCTCATGCTATCTAATCTGTCAACATTGACAATCAAAATATCAACTGTTCACAATCACAACAGCACAAGTAGATCGAGAGGTGTAATATTTTATTGGAATGCATTTGAGTCCATTACAATTTACATCGAATACGCAACTGATGCAAACTTCTGATTTGTTACGATTGTAAATTCTCAGTAGGTTACAATTTGATACATTATATCAACATATCAATTTAGTTAGTTTCTGACATATATCTAGGTCAAAAGGTCAATATTTCGACTTCAAATACAACCCGCAAAGTTATTTAAACTCACAATAAATAGTTTGGCTTAATGGTGTGTAAACAATGAATTATTCTTTACAAGATTTCAGTAGCATTTGTATTAAGTCTGTTGACCTACCATAAACTGCACTGGGAGTTACCAGGTGGTCATGGATATTTTAAATTGAAATCACAACAGAACGGCAACTCAAATTTATATCGATAAGGAGACCAGATAACAGTAGAATAGTTTGTCAATAAGAATAATGTTCAATACTTACGATAAATGTACCGGGATGGTTAAATTGTCGCAGTTTGTCCCGATTGCGTGCCTTGTTGACATATCCATTTGTTTCATGTGCTATCCAGCCTTCACCTTCTGCTCTCCAAGCCTCGCTTTCAAACCGGAAGTTGAGAAGTGTGAAAAAGGTCAATAGGTAAACACTAATATGAAGACTTGTTCGGTAATAAATAAAACATTATATTCCTGTTCATGTCATACTATGTTTATGACACTCTTTGATATAATCTCCTTCCAGTGCTCTGCTGACTGAAACGTCTAAGACTCCCATTCAAACCAGCACTGCTCCTGCCTTATCCTTAGGCCTGTTGGAGCAGGTGATAATAATGCAGATTACCATGATGGAATCACTATTCTATTCTATGCCTGGCAGCTATATCCACACCAGCCTGGTTCCCTGGGTATGCTGCGCTGGTGCTACACTGACCCAGGCAATGACTGCACAATGGCCGCCTCCACTAGACGAACAAACATGGCGAACACGCCATGTATTTACTATAGGAAAGATGTAGAACTGGTGGTTAAACAATTTTCGTAGCATTTTCATGAATGCTTTTGCAATGCATATGTCACGAAAATAATGTCCGTTGTTACTTTTAGTGAAGGAAAACGACCACGTCAATGAAATACCGTTAGCATCTTTTTTTTGGAAAATCTGATTACGCAGATGTCGCCGATTTTGCCCCGTAAAATAAAGATGCTAACACCTTTCGGATTGAAAAAACCCAACTGTTAATGGATGACGTCACATGAACTTTAATCTACTGTCAACTGCCCTGGGAGACCACTAGAGGCAGGGCCCACCTTTCACTATGGTGTATTCTGACTATGATGTGATAAAGGAAGAGTATTCGCAAGAATTACCCTTCAATATCCGTCAATTTGAAATTTTCGCGGATTCAACGCAAGCGTATGAAAGAAAATTATTGTGACAGTTGTGGCCCAGAAACAATACAATACAATGGAGATTAACAATTGGGATTAGCATCTTTAAAATAACGGCAATTGAGTGTTTCAAGGTATATAGATGTCATGGCAATGGGGTAATTATCCTTTGGAATTAAATGTTTATTCAGACAATGGTTGTCGTAAATCAGTCGCTATGACAATGCTAAGCATCACTATGGGCGCTAAAGTGAATTTTGTTTCATAGTTGTTAAACGCCGCACTCAGCAATATTCCAGCTGAGTTTGGACCAGACAGCGATTAACACCATGAGCAACGATTCACGCAATTGGGATACGATGATATGCATCAACCAAGTCACCTTTTCCCGCAAGCATGGGTTGCCGAGGAGCTATTCTTACCCTCTAGGCATCACTAGGGCGCTACTATGAGTAATGTATGTTGATGAGACAATCTTTATTTTCCAAATACAGAAATATTGTAACACGCAGAGCAATAAAGTGTTGCACTCAAGTGCACCCACATGTGGTTTCACATGACTATCCACGCAAGGAAACGTACACCGATCTTCCCGCCGGTGTAGGAGGCCCAACTCAATCCCAGGCTCAAATCACGTCAGAGTGACTTTGGGCCTAGTTTGAGATCACTATTGTGTGTTTTGAGCCCAAATGTCTCCCCGGGCTCAAATCACTCAGCGTGGTATTTCAAATATCAACTGATTAGCTTCATTGAAATCACAGGGACTCGTTATTGGTCAGTAAAAAAAATATATATATACCCACTATATGTAAGTATATAAAAAAATATACCCCCCTATATGTAAGTAGAGATTTTATCCACTTACATATAGGGGTATATAATTTTATTTACTGACCAATAACGAGTCCCTGTGAATAAGTGAGTGAGTGAGTTGGGTTTAACGCCGCTTTTAACAGTATTCCAGTTATATCGCGTCGTGTCAGCTTAATGTTGGAGGAAAGCCCGAAGAGATGCAGGTCTCAGACGTTTACCGCTTCGGTGAAACCCACGAGCACGGGTATGGCGCTGACAAACCTAGAAACATAATCGGGGTGAGAACCGGATTCGAACCTACAATCGCCCAGGGGACGCAACTCTGCACAGCGAAGTGCGGCGCATTAGACGACTGGGCCAGCCGTGCCCCCTCCCCCTGACTATAAAAGTCCAGCTTCCACACTTGCCGAACTAGGCTCGAATTCCGGAGTTACATTTTGGCTGGACTATGATCCTCCCCTGTGTCCGTGATCCTCCCCGTGTCTGTGATCCTCCCCTGTGTCTGTGATCCTCCCCTGTGTCTGTGATCCTCCCGTGTGTCAGTGATCGTCCCCTGTGTCTGTGATCCTCCACTGTGTCTTTCATCCTCCCCTGTGTCTGTGATCGTCCCCTGTGTCTGTGATCCTCCCATGTGTCTGTTATCCTCCACTGTGTCTTTCATCCTCCCGTGTGTCTGTGATCCTACCCTGTGTCTGTGATCCTTCCGTGTGTCTGTGATCCTCCACTGTGTCTTTCATCCTCCCGTGTGTCTGTGATCCTCCCCTGTGTCTGTGATCCTTCCGTGTGTCTGTTATCCTCCACTGTGTCTTTCATCCTCCCGTGTGTCTGTGATCCTCCGCTGTGTCCGCGATCCTTCCGTGTCTATGATCCTCCGCTGCAACTATGATCCTTCCGTGTCTGTGATCCATCCGTGTGTCTATGATCCTCCCTGTGTCTGTGATCCTCCCCTGTGTCTGTGACCCTCCCCTGTGTCTGTGATCCTCCCCTGTGTCTGTGACCCTCTCCTGTGTCTGTGATCCTCCCCTGTGTCTGTGATCATCCCGTGTGTCTGTGATCCTCCCCTGTGTCTGTGATCCTCCCCTGTGTCTGTGATCATCCCGTGTGTCTGTGATCCTCCCGTGTGTCAGTGATCGTCCCCTGTGTCTGTGATCATCCCGTGTGTCTGTGACCCTCCCCTGTGTCTGTGATCCTCCCCTGTGTCTGTGATCCTCCCCTGTGTCTGTGATCCTCCCCTGTGTCTGTGATCATCCCGTGTGTCTGTGATCCTCCCGTGTGTCAGTGATCGTCCCCTGTGTCTGATCATCCCGTGTGTCTGTGATCCTCCCCTGTGTCTGTGATCCTCCCCTGTGTCTGTGACCCTCCCCTGTGTCTGTGATCCTCCCCTGTGTCTGTGACCCTCCCCTGTGTCTGTGATCCTCCCCTGTGTCTGTGATCATCCCGTGTGTCTGTGATCCTCCCCTGTGTCTATGATCCTCCCCTGTGTCTGTGATACTCCCCTGTGTCTGTGACCCTCCCCTGTGTCTGTGATCCTCCCCTGTGTCTGTGATCCTCCCCTATGTCTGTGATCATCCCGTGTGTCTGTGATCCTCCCCTGTGTCTTAGAGCTTCCCCTGTTTGTACATCCTTTTCATGGAATCACAACATCCAGGTCCTGCCATGGCCCTCTAGGTCTCTAGATTTAAACCCGTCGAACATTTATTGGATAACGACTGCGAGTACGTCTGCAACAGCCACAAAGTCTATGAACGTTGGCATAAACACTGCAGAGTGGCTGAACGCTCCTCAGTCCACAATTCGGGATCTGATTACTTCAATGGGACGACGATGCCAGTCCGTTTTGTGCTTTAATGGTGGCCATACAAGATAATGAGAACAGATGACCTTCACCTTGAAAATCTACTCATCCATGTGTGCCATATGGGACCTGGGTCAATTACAAAGATGTGTGCCAGTTTTCAACAATCGATTACCAGCTGTTTATTCAATCATTTCTATTTCCAATACATTTTGGCCACGGGCCTTTGTGCACAAAAGTTGAGTACAGACATGTTTTAAACATTCAGTTTCGCATTTCTCACTTCATTTGCATAATATAGATATTTTGCTATATTTGTAATAATATATGTAACTGGTGATGACAGTAGCATATAAAATTAATGAACGTTAGGATGACAATAGAACTTTGCTTTGAGATATAGTTGCCGTAACTTGACATACGATGAACACATTAGCAGGAAGTGGTACTAGGTTTCAACGCAGTCTAATTTACAAAGTTTGCATTTTCTTAAATCTCTTGGAATTTTATAATGACGTCCATTCTCAATTTCCAAAGCATGTCAACTCAGTCTTAATCTCGTGAGGGTTGTTTTCATACTTTGCGAATTTAAGAATGACAAATAAGGTTCACATTTAACACAGGTTTTAAAACATGCATAATATGACATTTTTGAACCTGCAAAGACATTCGCTATGCCAGATCTGCTAAAAATTGTCTTTTAAACGTTGTTACATATTAAGAAAAACCTTTCTGTTTCCATACATTTGAAACATCACCGAACCCAAGTTTACAAAGACAATTCTTCATCATAAAGGCACAACACAATGTAGCACTTTCTTGGTAAACGGAAGTCTGGCATCTTTAGTATGTTCAGCCAATATTTCACACATCTGGTCAAAGCATATACACGAATAGGGTATCTGCCACACTCGCCCAAAACAGCATTGTTTGATGCAGATCATTTTAAATCCAAAAACCGTTTGCAAGCATATACATGCAGTTTCCATTTTTTCAACATTTTCAAACCCCCAGACCTCGGCACCACACAGAAGCACTTGAATGATCTTCGCATCGAAAATGTGGAAGTAGAAATCTGGTGAAAAAGGTTGTAGCGAATGTATACCTCTCAGGATAGTTATCCATACCCATTTCGCCCGCAGGGCAATCTTATCAAGAGTTTTAGACCAGTTAGGCCTATTATTAAAATACAAACCCAAGTAATTAAAGCCGCAAACAACTTTAACCCTTTTCCCTTTCTAAAACCACTTTTCGCAACGTGACAAACAACCACCATTTTTAAATACAACAACTTTGGTCTTAGACATATGAACTGACATTTTCCGAGTGTTACAAAAGTTCTCAAGGACGCTTAGTTTCTTCTGAAGGTTAGAAACACTATCACCAACGAGTATCAAATCATCTCCAAATAGAAGTAACAGGATGTGGATAATGTCTGGACGGAGCTGTACACCAAACGAACACTCCTCTTCCACCTCAAGAACTATTTCGTTTATAAAGAACTTGAACAAAAAAGGGTCAAAGTACACAGCCTTGCTTGACACCTAAAAGGGCAATCGAATGCCCCAGACATACGATTGTTTGACCTTACACATGCTTTAACGTCCTTGTCGATTGAGTGCAATATTCTACCCATTTTTGTACTTAATCCATGTTTATAAAACAGACACCAAAGAAGGTTACGGTGTATGGAATCGAACGCATTAGAGAGGTCAATAAAAGCGGCGTAAAACTTACCCCCTTTACGTAAAAGGAATCGTTGTACAAGAACATTAAGGACAAACCAGTTATCTACAGTGGAATACCCCTTCCGAAAGCCTGACTGGCATTCAGAAATAACACAAAGTGTGTCTGCCCAGAAAACTAATCTCTTGCATAGAATTGAAGTGGATACTTTGCTAAGGACACTCAGAAGGCTTATGGCTCGATAGTTATCTGGAACTGTTTGGCGATGATATATTCATCATGAATGTCGCACGAAGTTTATAAGTCCATAAGTACTTATAGTGTACCTGATTATCCGCAAAAGCATCTCCCTTATGACGAATGCTCACACAGACTGGTAAATTATTACTTTCTGAACGGGACATAAAGTCAAATTCTGCTATATGTTGAAATATATCTGTTGATGCTAACGCATAGTCTATGACGCTGCATCCCAAATGTCCTATGAAAGTGAAGTCGCCCCAACCCTTACATTAATAATATGGATGTCCAGAACTTGTCGAACTTGGTTAAAAGGTTGGTATAATGTTCATCCCCTTCCGGACCGCCTCCGTGGTCTAGTGGTAGAGCGTCCGCCCGGAGAGCGGAAGGTCCTGGGTTCGATCCCCAGCCGCGTCATACCAAAAGACGTTAAAAGATGGTACTTGTTGTTACCCTGTTTGGCGCTCGGCATTAAGGGGCTAAAACAAGGACTGGACGGCTCGGAGTCAGTATACAGTGTCTGAGTGGGGTCTTCATGTTAAACTGCGGCATGGTATCTCAGTGTGCTAGCACTATAAATCGGCATCAGTCCGGACTAGTACAAGCAGCCACACACACACACACATACACGTGCATGCACGTCGCTATATAAGTGCAATAACCTTGGACGCGACGTTAAACCCCATTTCACCTCACCCCGAACAATGAAATAGAAACATCTGGATACTTTTCCAACACACTAAGTAATAAGTTCAAAAGTAACTCTACACCATTGCGTATTTGTCATCATACCATGACGAGCATTGTAGATATCGCTGCAATGAAATTGTCATTGTTACCATCAAATGGCATCACTAATGGCTCTGCTACTGAAGCTGTTAGCAGTACTTTTTACAATTACGTCACTTCTTATTACTTTCTACAAACTGAAAAAGTTGGAAGAATGATGTTGGATGGTAAATACAATCTCACCCTCGTGTCTTTTGATATCAAATCTATCAACACTCTGAGCCTTTACACTTTTATCAACTCGTGTGGATATATTCGATATCACAAAAAACTCGGGTGAGATTCTCTATGTATAAATAAATTATTACAAGATTATACACTTCCACGCACCTACACTTACTTTGACAATCCATATTAGCCGCACAGATTTCTTTTGAGGTACCATGCGTCAATTCTACGCTGGTATGTAAAGAGATTGATGTTACATATCAACGCTGCCCAGAGTTTTCGGACATGTGTAGACCTGGGGCTATATGAGAGGAGCTACATACGCTTGTGAGCGGAGGTGAGGTTAACGGTCTGTTCTATGTAACGCCAAGTTGATCTCTCGAGTCAGTAGCTTAGTAAGGGAAACAACTCGAACCGGTTCTTTTCGCTACCTGTCTATAATTAGAGCCATAACCTACATACCCCGTCCGCTACTATGAAAAGGTTTCATTCAACAAGTCCCTAGTGAGACGTCAGCTTGTTACCCCTCTGGCCTGATGGGAACTTTCGTAAACACACAGCAGCGGAATCATGGACAATCCCCTTTGGTCCTTGCTCTGACTGAAATGAAGTGAATACCTTGTGTGGAAGTGGATCAAATCTTTACGTCATATCCGACATAACGGGCAGTAAGGTGCGATATCCTTTTGGGTTGCATATACAGCAGTCCGCCTACACGTGTTTTGCTAGAACAGAGCAGACGTGGTATGTTGTCGTCTGCTCCCATTTCGATTCAACTGTTTATTGTCTGCAGAATGAATTGATGTAAACAGAATGGGAAACAAGTCCAGTAGTACCCGCCCTGAAAATATCAACCCGGCAGTGCTTACTGTTAAAGAAGCTCAGAGGAAATACCTGGAGGAGATAGAGACGAAGTCCGGATCTGAATCTGATTCGGATCTAGAATCGGATCTAGAGGACAGTTGTGATGAGACGGATGGAATAAAACAGTTCAGGAAGCGCAGGTTTTATTCTGTGTTAGATAAAGTTGACAGAAAAGCTAAGAATGTCGACCCGTCGGAGTATTTATTTCCTTTTGAGAACATCGTTTTCGAAGGCGGAGGGAATAAAGGACTTGCATATTGTGGCGCTGTTCGGGTAAGGCTACTGTTATAATCCTAACCTGTAACTAATTTAACCTTTACACTCAACCTGTGTCCAGCTGAGCCAAGTGTTTATGAAGTTGTCAGATATATTAGATGGAAATAATACTTTAAACATTAGCGTTAATTGGTAATTGGTTTAAGCCGCGTGCCATGTCACTGCAATGCTTATTTAAGAAGGTAGCTCCGTGCGGCCTTTCACCGAGTACATTATTTGATTCCACTTTGACTGAGTGGCACAAGGCCTACGTCGGGTCGCTGTTTGTTATGCGGGGTGTAAATGAACAGGTGTGGGTACTAAACTGGTGAATGGTTAAGAGAGTTAACGCCATTACATTTCAGTATTAATTTTAATGCTGATGGATTACAGCCTTGATTCTATGTGAAGACCATTCCGGCACCGATGAAACTACACACCCACTTGTGCAGGCTGGTTCGTGGTCAGGGTAGGTGGCCCTGCCACCAGCTGTACACTGGAATTTTGTGATTTTGCGTTTAAACATCTGTTGCACTAGTTCAAACGTTATGGTTGGTGTCAGATTGTAGCTGTTAGATGTCTGCAGTGAATCCCACCGAGGGATAATCAAACATCTACTCCATATAGGTAGTGAGTAGTACACCAGATTCAGTGAGCAATAGAAGCTATTTTCTTCACAAATAACAAGTGTCAGTTCGTCATAAAAATATGACATAACATATTCCACCCACTCCCTTGTTCCGAGTGTGTACATATACAGTTTGTGTAAATGTTACATCGCGATTTACCGGGAGCTTGGTGAGGAGTACAGGGAGTGTTACTAGAGGGCTTAATATAGGGTTGACCGTGTCGTGTAAACGTGGTTTTTAAAAGTTCATTCGACAGCATTATATGGGTTATCAAGCACATTATTGCAACACTTTAGAAATTTAAAAATACCAGCATTCCAGGAAAAACACTGCCCAAAGTATGTGGGGAGAACATATGCTAGATAGCCATACAATACTGTCTGTTGACTGTTTATTTGGCCTAAATGTTGAATGTACCTATATTTTACCCGATTAATACGAACAGATTCTGTCGTTATGTCTGTCTACCGCACTGCAGTGATCTGATTTGGAGGTGATTCGGTCTGTGTAAATACGTCCATAGCAAATCCTGCTTTGTTTTTTCTCGCGATACATGTTGCCGTGACACAAGATACCAACACCTGCCACATTCCTCGCAATGGCGGGCCTCATGTGAATCTACATCTAGTTATGTAGCTGTTATATCCGTATATATATGACACTAAACTCGTCGGACTCGAACTCAACCCTTCAAAAGATGAGGGACAGTGTCCGGGAAGGAAACTCAACACGCCCCCGGACCATTCGTACTCATGGTGGCCTTCATACTCATGGTACCGTGAACTGTAATGTTTGAACATACAAACTGTCCCGATAAAATCTTTATTTTTAAAGGCTGCATCTGTGGTACATCCGTCTGTGTTACTGGTTGTACTTCAGTACGCTAAAGAACAGGTGATTCCGATGTTATATGCTTTGTGATTATTCATGACACTCATAGACAGGAAAAGGAGTTGTCCCCATAGAAATAAATGGGTTCACTGAAGAGAAACTGGCGCTTTCACAATAATTTTGGGACACATGGTATCTCTCATTATCAACATTCAGTGAACTGTATGCAGTATTGCTTGATACGTAGAATATGATACGTTCTTTATATTTATGTTCCTGTTCCTCTCACCCCACCTTTTGTACTTAAGTGTGCTATTCAGTGTGTTCACTGACCTGATCGAACAGGTATAACAATGTATGGCGTGATGCCCTTCGTGACCTTGAGGTCATTACATTGCTGTAACGCTCACTGAACCGGCTGAAATTTTATTTATTAACCCCTTCGTTACGCTGTAGTTATCCAATGTTATACTCCAACGTACTACGCAGCCTAACTTATACTCCTACGAACTACGCCTCCGATGTTATGAACATACGTACTTCGCATCCGACGTTATACACCTACGTACTACTACTCCGTGGGCGTAATGCTTTGGTAACCCTGGACCAGCTCACAGTCAGCAGGAGTAAAGCTTTGGTAGTCCATGACCAGATCACAGTCAGTTGGAGTAAAGCTTTGGTAGCCCTGGACCAGATCACAGTAAGTGGGAGTAAAGCTTTGGTAGCCCTGGACCAGATCACAGTCAGCAGGAGTAAGGCTTTGGTAGTCCATGACCAGATCACAGTCAGCTGGAGTAAAGCTTTGGTAGTCCATGACCAGATCACAGTCAGTTGGAGTAAGGCTTTGGTAGCCCTGGACCAGATCACAGTCAGCAGGGGAAGGCTTTGGTAGCCCTGGACCAGATCACAGTCAGCAGGAGTAAGGCTTTGGTAGTCCATGACAAGATCACAGTCAGTTGGAGTAAAGCTTTGGTAGCCCATGACCAGATCACAGTCAGCAAGAGTAAGGCTTTGGTAGCCCTGGACCAGATCACAGTCAGCAGGAGTAAGGCTTTGGTAGTCCATGACCAGATCACAGTCAGTTGGAGTAAGGCTTTGGTAGCCCTGGACCAGCTCACAGTCAGTGGGAGTAAAGCTTTGGTAGCCCTGGACCAGATCACAGTCAGCAGGAGTAAAGCTTTGGTAGTCCATGACCAGATCACAGTCAGTGGGAGTAAAGCTTTGGTAGCCCTGGACCAGATCACAGTCAGTTGGAGTAAAGCTTTGGTAGCCCTGGACCAGATCACAGTCAGTGGGAGTAAAGCTTTGGTAGTCCATGACCAGATCACAGTCAGTTGGAGTAAAGCTTTGGTAGTCCATGACCAGATCACAGTCATTTGGAGTAAAGCTTTGGTAGCCCTGGACCAGATCACAGTCAATGGGAGTAAAGCTTTGGTAGCCCTGGACCAGATCACAGTCAGTTGGAGTAAAGCTTTGGTAGTCCATGACCAGATCACAGTCAGTTGGAGTAAAGCTTTGGTAGCCCTGGACCAGATCACAGTCAATGGGAGTAAAGCTTTGGTAGTCCTGGACCAGATCACAGTCAGTTGGAGTAAAGATTTGGTAGTCCATGACCAGATCACAGTCAGTTGGAGTTAAGCTTTGGTAGTCCTTGACCAGATCACAGTCAGTTGGAGTAAAGCTTTGGTAGCCCTAAACCAGATCATAGTCAGTGGGAGTAAGGCTTTGGTAGTCCATGACCAGATCACAGCCAGCAGGAGAAAAGCTTTGGTAGTCCATGACCAGATCACAGTCAGCGGGAGTGAAGCTTTGGTAGTCCATGACCAGATCACAGTCAGTTGGAGTAGAGCTTTGGTAGCCCTAAACCAGATCATAGTCAGTTGGAGTAAAGCTTGGTAGTCCTTAACCAGATCACAGTCAGTTGGAGTAAAGCTTTGGTAGTCCTTGACCAGATCACAGTAAGCGGGAGTAAAGCTTTGGTAGTCCATGACCAGATCACAGTCAGTTGGAGTAAAGCTTTGGTAGTCCATGACCAGATCACAGTCAGTTGGAGTAAAGCTTTGGTAGTCCTTGACCAGATCACAGCCAGGAGGAGAAAAGCTTCGGTAGTCCGTAACCAGATCACAGTCAGTTGGAGTAAAGCTTTGGTAGTCCATGACCAGATCACAGTCAGTTGGAGTAAAGCTTTGGTAGTCCGTAACCAGATCACAGTCAGTAGGAGTAGGGCTTTGGTAGTCCTTGACCAGATCACAGTCAGTGGGAGTAAGGCTTTGGTAGTCCATGACCAGATCACAGTCAGTTGGAGTAAGGCTTTGGTAGCCCTGGACCAGCTCACAGTCAGTGGGAGTAAGGCTTTGGTAGCCCTGGACCAGATCACAGTCAGCTGGAGTAAGGCTTTGGTAGTCCATGACAAGATCACAGTCAGCTGGAGTAAAGCTTTGGTAGCCCTGGACCAGATCACAGTCAGTGGGAGTAAAGCTTTGGTAGTCCATGACCAGATCACAGTCAGTTGGAGTTAAGCTTTGGTAGTCCTTGACCAGATCACAGTCAGTTGGAGTAAAGCTTTGGTAGCCCTAAACCAGATCATAGTCAGTGGGAGTAAGGCTTTGGTAGTCCATGACCAGATCACAGCCAGCAGGAGAAAAGCTTTGGTAGTCCATGACCAGATCACAGTCAGCGGGAGTGAAGCTTTGGTAGTCCATGACAAGATCACAGTCAGTTGGAGTAAAGCTTTGGTAGCCCCAAACCAGATCATAGTCAGTGGGAGTAAAGCTTGGGTAGTCCGTAACCAGATCACAGTCAGTTGGAGTAAAGCTTTGGTAGTCCATGACCAGATCACAGTCAGTTGGAGTAAAGCTTTGGTAGTCCATGACCAGATCACAGTCAGTTGGAATAAAGCTTTGGTAGTCCATGACCAGATCACAGCCAGTAGGAGTAAAGCTTTGGTAGTCCGTAACCAGATCACAGCCAGTGGGAGTAAAGCTTTGGTAGTCCATGACCAGATCACAGTCAGTTGGAGTAAAGCTTTGGTAGTCCATGACCAGATCACAGTCAGTTGGAGTAAAGCTTTGGTAGTCCATGACAAGATCACAGTCAGTTGGAGTAAAGCTTTGGTAGTCCATGACCAGATCACAGTCAGTTGGAGTAAAGCTTGGGTAGTCCGTAACCAGATCACAGTCAGTTGGAGTAAAGCTTTGGTAGTCCATGACCAGATCACAGTCAGTTGGAGTAAAGCTTTGGTAGTTCATGACCAGATCACAGTCAGTTTGAGTAAAGCTTTGGTAGTCCTTGACCAGATCACAGCCAGCGGGAGTAAAGCTTTGGTAGTCCATGACCAGATCACAGTCAGTTGGAGTAAAGCTTTGGTAGTCCGTAACCAGATCACAGCCAGTAGGAGTAAGGCTTTGGTAGTCCATGACCAGATCACAGTCAGTTGGAGTAAAGCTTTGGTAGTCCATGACCAGATCACAGTCAGTTGGAGTAAAGCTTTGGTAGCCCTAAACCAGATCACAGTCAGTGGGAGTAAAGCTTTGGTAGTCCATGACCAGATCACAGCCAGCAGGAGAAAAGCTTTGGTAGTCCATGACCAGATCACAGTCAGCGGGAGTAAAGCTTTGGTAGTCCATGATCAGATCACAGTCAGCGGGAGTAAAGCTTTGGTAGCCCTAAACCAGATCATAGTCAGTGGGAGTAAAGCTTTGGTTGTCCATGACCAGATCACAGCCAGCAGGAGAAAAGCTTTGGTAGTCCATGACCAGATCACAGTCAGCGGGAGTAAAGCTTTGGTAGTCCATGATCAGATCACAGTCAGCGGGAGTAAAGCTTTGGTAGTCCAAGATCAGATCACAGTCAGCGGGAGTAAAGCTTTGGTAGTCCATGACCAGAACACAGTCAGTTGGAGTAAAGCTTTGGTAGTCCATGATCAGATCACAGTCAGTGGGAGTAAAGCTTTGGTAGTCCATGACAAGATCACAGTCAGTTGGAGTCAAGCTTTGGTAGTCCGTAACCAGATCACAGCCAGTAGGAGTAGGGCTTTTGGTAGTCCTTGACCAGCTCACAGTCAGTGGGCGTAAGGCTTTGGTCACCCTGGACCTGCTCACTGTCAGTGGGAATAAAGCTTTGGTAGCCCTGAACCAGAAATATCTGATATTGGGTGATATCACAATTGTTCCCTCTGATTCAAACAGCTGGTTTGACGACCACCTCACGGAAAGTCATGATATTTTAAGAATTGGCATTTTGATATCGTGACGTGTGAAATACTAGGTTACAAAATTCAGATTTGGGGTAACTACAATATTCCAAATATGTATAGGTTTTGAAATACATTTTGAGCAGTGTAGCGGTGTATTGAAATGTCGTTCTTTTTTTCAAGAAATTGAAGTCTTCAAGATCAGTGAAGAAAGTATTCTGGGATGCAAAGGGTGTGATCCCCCCTTTAGAAAGCTAAAAGACGGTGCCTACTATGCTGACTTTCTATCAGAGAAAAGCAGCTAGGAATGCTGACTGCTAGGGCTCTATTACTTCATTACAATGCCTCTCCTCACACCTCTCGACCTGCAAATGTGTGTTTGAAGAGCTTCGTCGCCCTCCATACTCGCCAGACCTGGCACCAAGTGATTTCCAACCGTTTCATAAACCAATGTCATTAAAATCAGATCTTAGTTCTCGCTACCGCTAAACAAAGATCTGAGGACATCCCATTACGGGTCACGTCAGACCGACCTTGCGCGAACTTTGACCGACCAATGGAATGACCACTCAGAAGGCAGCTTTCTCGAGCTTTACGGCACTAATTTCAAATTGGCGACTACGCTTCGAAACATATTTTGACAAATTCTCGATTACAAATATGAAACCTGAACAAAAAAACATTCTGGAATGGCTAATAGATGGTCAAGATTGTATGGATTCAGTCGTTAAACCTGTAACTATCGTTCGGAGTTAAAGTTTTCGAGTTTGCATGATTAGAAATCACATTCCGACTGTCACTTTCATAATCTTGTGCTCTGATTGGTCGGATGAAAGGTCGTTCTGAAGTGACCCCTAATGGGATGTCCTCAGATCTTTGTTTAGCGGCAGCGAGAACTAAGATCTGATTTTAATGAGATTGTTTCATAAACTGAAAGCGCCTTCGTGGAAAACGCTATGACGACAACGAAGATCTCAAACCTGCCGAGAATGGGTTTTTCAGGGGGCTTCAGAAAACGTACGCGTCTTCCTGACTGGAATTGAAAAGCTTTATTATCGATATGAGAATTGCATTGAAAAGCAGGGAGATTATGTTGAAAATTAAAAATTAAAAACACTTTGACAATTGTTGGTTTTGTTTGTTAGGCTTAGAACTTTCTGACCAGCCCTCCTATTAGCGAGCAATGTTACATAGTTGTTGTGCTACACACTTTGAATGCCTGACTGACATGAGAGTAAAGGATATCTATGTAAAACAATGTTTCGGGAATAAAGAGTTAAATTTAAAGCTGTTATCGGAGTTTTCTTAATTCAGATCAAAACAATTAACTAAAGCCCTGCAGTTTCACTCAATATTTTCGCTTACACCAAAGAGTTCAACATTGGAGAATGGAGTATCAGCGGGCGTAAATGTGAGGTCGAGCACTTAACATCCACAATCCAGGAACCACATAAACTTACATGGTCTTCGTATGTTGTAATTACAGTTTCGGTATTTTTTATTACTGCAGGAGATTGAAAGAAAATGGGTTTTTAAGATTCATGTGTCAAGGTAGTTTATGCATATAATGTGTGTTATTGTTCACAGCGATATTGAATCTTGATAAGACTGCGTTCTATTTAGTCCAAAACTGTTTGTGACACAAATGTAATTTTAAACCCAGTCCGTATGCGTGCTTGTGAAAACTGGACTTCTTCTCTTTTATACAGTTCACGATATGACTTATTGTCAGTTAAAATCGTTGTTTAAAAGTTAAAATCGTTGTTGGAACCAGTTTTACAAATTCGCTTGAATACATTTATTCGCGATAGGCTGGGTTTCAATGATCTGATTAATAATAAGGCAGATATTTATCAATTGAAAACCTGTTAGCACTTGCCCCGTATGTTTTTTACAATATCTCATCCTGTTTGTTTGCCCATGTTTATGACCCCACACGGCTTGTTTCGATATTGTCTCAAAATGACATTTTACATTCATTATATGAAACAAGTTAATACATTGTTCTTACCAGTCTTTATTACCTTAAGGGGCATTCACACGGTACAACTAGTGGTATACAACTAGTTGTACCATGTGAATGCCCCTTTATTCTACTGGTACCTTTATAAAATGCATATATTGTCTAATAACGCACACTCCACTGTATTTAAATGTATGACGTATACTAATATGATACGTTTAATGCAGGTGAAAGTCTGTAATGTCTTTCATCAGCGCTGACTCAAGCTTCAGGGATGATATCAGTGTTGAAGTTTACCCTATATGTTGAATGTTGTGTCACTGCTGGCCCGTATTGTAATAGTTAACACCATTGCCATCAGGTGCTGGAGGAACTTGGCATCTGGCCACAGATCCGGAGACTGGCGGGTGCCAGTGCAGGTGCTATGACGGCCGCACTGCTGGCTGTGGGCTACAACTCCAGAGACATCGAGTGCTTCCTCAGCCAGGATTTATCCATTGTGTTTCTAGGTAAGGGTCCTAAAATGTACCATGGGTCAACGTGCATTAAAGCAGTGAATCCCGGTCATTGGTCTGATTATGTACTGATGGGGAATATGATCTTGCCATGCGTGTATAAAAGGGTAAAAGGGTAACATTGCATGTAACATGCATGGCAAGGCAATCAAATGTTGGATATATATATAACCTTGTCATGCATGTTACCCTTTTATACATGCATACTTATATTATATATATATACTGAGTCAAATTAAAAACTTCACATTTTTAAAAGTAATCCCATATATGATATACAACGGACAAATGTATCAGAGAAGGTAAATTTTAATCATTAATGTCCAAAGAAGTTTTTATTAACGGTGGTAACCATAATTTGTTCCACGCACCTACGGTATTCGGTAATAACATCAACAGTTTAAATCATAAGTCCCAAGCACGAGAATCTGATGGCACACAAGTTCAGTAGCGTGTATGGCCACCATGTGCGTTGACAACTGCCATACAACGCCTCCACATGGACCTTGTGATGCTTGTGAACACATGATTGGGAAAACGACGCCATTGTTGCTGCAAAATGGTGCCAAGATCTTGCAAATTCTGTGGTTGGTTCTGGAGAGTGCGCAGACTTCTGCCAAGAGCATCCCAGACGTGTTCGATGGGTTGGGGTCGGGAGACCTTGACGGCCAGTCCATGACGTTGACTCCCGCATTCTGAAGGAAATTCCTTGTCAAAATTGCTGTGTGGGGTCTGGCATTGTGTTGGAAGATCAAACCGGGTCCATGTGCTGCCATAAAAGGCCGAAATTCTGGTGCCAGTACCTGGTCGCGGTGAGCAGCAGCGTTGAGGTTGCCACGCATGACAAGAAGCCTGGAACGTGCATTGCCACAGAAAGCACCCCACACCATGACACTTCCGCCTCGAAATCTGTCAACTTCCTGTACACAACACTGGGCGTAACGTTCATGACGGCGCCTCCACACCCTCGCCCTACCATCAGCAAATCGAAGATTAAATCGGGATTCATCACTGAAGACGACTTGATTCCAATTCCTCTGAGTCCATCGTAAGTGTCGCTGTGCCCTCAATTGACGTTGACGTCTGTGTAATTGAGTCAGAATCGGCCCGCAGTATGGCCGTCATGCTTGAAGGTGAGCAGTTCTCAGACGGTTTCGAACAGTTTGCGCACTCTGTCTACCCCTAAACAGTTCATTTCTGGTTGATGTAGCCGTCAAAAATCAGTTACGGAGGTGACGTAAGACAATCTGACGATCCTCTGCATGTGACGTCACACGTGGTCGACCTGACCGAGGGCGATCAGCGGTGGTACCCGTTTGCTGTAGACGCGTCTGTAAATCATAAACAGTCCGTCGACTACAACCCATCGTCCTTGCGACTTCAGCTACGGACGTTCCCGTCTGCAACATGCCGATGGCACGTTCACGTTGCACATTTGAAGGGCGTGGCATGACAAATGGCCGTAAAGACTTCTGTTTTCTTGTGTTTTTCTTTTTTTTTGTTAATGACTGGTAACAAGTATGGCTGAAAACACGTGCGGTATTATGGCCACGTGACCAGTTGCATGTGAAAAAACACTTTTGCCACTATAGTGCTGTGCACATGATTTTGATCGATTCACCTGCACAAAAACGGGTATTATCCGAAGACAATACGTGGCCATTGCTGATTCAATACACAGTTAGGGCCCACAATAATAACTGGTCAAAATAGGATTTTTGAATTTTTCTATTTGGTTCAGTATATATATATATATATATATATATATATATATATATATATATATATTCTGCGAGAATGATGAAATTATATTAAGTTAGATGTAAATGTCGAATATTGCCTATTTAAATTTGGTAATCAGGGAGGTTGTATTTGAGAACATAGCAAGTAAATAACATTTGCTATATCTTTTTAGCAGCAATGTCTATATACTTTTGCTGTTGACTACGCGGATGAGATATGCTATATGCAGATTCTGTAACTTTAATGGATGTAATTACGGTTGCCGAAGTATGTATGGCGTGCTTTGCACCCTGCAGATGTCATATCTTACAACAAGTGGGTGCAACGAGAGAAATTTAGCTGTAGGGGGGCTTTTTCCCGCCAAACCCTCTACACTCCATGACAGCATTCTAACTAAAGTGTACTTTTATGTCGCCCCGATTTTCTCTTAACACTTACTAAGCGCCGTTCTCTAATGTCCGATGGTGACCAGTCACGCTAAATTCCACATACGTCATAAATGGTTTAAAGTAGAACTACAAACACGTGTCTAAGAACACCCAGTATGTTGTCCCAGACAGTTGAATATATATGCACGTGCCGTATTTGATTACACAAACATGTTGTCGCTGACACTACAGTGAAAAGTATAGGTCGTGTACGATAAGGGTCACACTGTGAGTGGTCACAGGCTGGAGAGTTTAATGTATGGTCATACATACAGGACAAGGGTCACTCTGTGAGTAGTCACAGGCTGAAGTGTTAAATGTATGGTCATACATACAGGACAAGGGTCACTCTGTGAGTGGTCACAGGCTGAAGTGTTAAATGTATGGTCATACATACAGGACAAGGGTCACTCTGTGAGTAGTCACAGACTGAAGTGTTAAATGTATGGTCATACATACAGGACTAGGGTCACACTGTGAGTGGTCACAGACTGAAGTGTTTAATGTATGGTCATACATACAAGACTAGGGTCACACTGTGTGTGGTCACAGATTGAAGTGTTGAATTTATGGTCATACATACATGACTAGGGACAAACTGTGAGTAGTCACAGACTGAAGTGTTAAATGTATGGTCATACATACAAGACAAGGGTCACTCTGTGAGTAGTTACAGACTGAAATGTTAAATGTGTGGTCATACATGCAGGACAAGGGTCACTCTGTGAGTGGTCACAGGGTGAAGTGTTAAATGTATGGTCATACAAACAGGACAAGGGTCAATCTGTGAGTAGTCACAGACTGAAGTGTTAAATGTATGGTCATACATACAGGACTAAGGTCACACTGTTAGTGGTCACAGACTGAAGTTTTAAATGTATGGTCATACATACAGGATAAGGCTCAAACTGTGAGTGCTCACAGATTGAAGTGTTAAATGTATGGTCATACATACAGGACTAGAGTCACACTGTGAGTGCTGACAGACTGAAGTGTTAAATGTATGGTCATACATACGGGACAAGGGTCACTCTGTGAGTGGTCACAGGCTGAAGTGTTAAATGTATGGTCATACATAAAGGACAAGGGTAACTCTGTGAGAAGTCACAGGCTGAAGTGTTAAATGTATGGTCATACATACAGGACAAGGGTCACTCTGTGAGTGGTCACAGGCTGAAGCATTCAATGTATGGTCATACATAAAGGACAAGGGTAACTCTGTGAGTGGTCACAGGCTGAAGTGTTAAATGTATGGTCATACATACAGGACAAGGGTCACTCTGTGAGTGGTCACAGGTTGAAGTGTTAAATGTATGGTCATACATACAGGACTAGGGTCACTCTGTGAGTAGTCACAGACTGAAGTGTTAAATGTATGGTCATACATACAGGACAAGGGTCACTCTGTGAGTGGTCACAGGCTGAAGTGCTAAATGTATGGTCATACATACAGGACTAGGGTCACACTGTGAGTAGTCACAGACTGAAAGGTTAAATGTATGGTCATACATACAAGACAAGGGTCACTCTGTGAGTAGTTACAGACTGAAATGTTAAATATATTGTCATACATGCAGGACAAGGGTCACTCTGTGAGTAGTCACAGACTGAAGTGTTTAATGTATGGTCATACATACAGGACTAAGGTCACACTGTTAGTGGTCACAGATTGAAGTGTTTAATGTATGGTCATACATACATGACTAGGGTCACACAGTGAGTAGTCACAGACTGAAGTGTTAAATGTATGGTCATACACAGAGGACTAGGGTCACACTGTGAGTGGTCACAGACTGAAGTTTTTAATGTATGGTCATACATACAGGACAAGGGTCACTCTGTGAGAAGTCACAGGCTGAAGTGTTAAATGTATGGTCATACATACAGGACTAGGGTCACACAGTGAGTGGTCACAAACTGAAGTGTTAAATGATTGGTCATACACACAGGACTACGGCCACACTGGGAGCGGTCACAGACTGATGTGTTAAATGTATGGTCATACATACAAGACTAGGGTCATACTGTAAGTGGTCACAGACTGAAGTGTTAAATTTGATGGTCATACATACAGGACTAGGGTCACACTGTTAGTGGTCACAGACTGAAGTGTTTAATGTATGGTCATACATACAGGACTAGGGTCACACTGTTAGTGGTCACAGACTGAAGTGTTTAATGTATGGTCATACATACAGGATAAGGGTCACACTGTGAGTGGTCACAGACTGAAGTGTTTAATGTATGGTCATACATACAGGACTAGGGTCACACTGTGAGTGGTCACAGACTGAAGTGTTAAATGTATGGTCATACATACAAGACTAGGGTCACACTGTGAGTTGTCACAGACTGAAGTGTTAAATGTATGGTCATACATACAAGACTAGGGTCACACTGTTAGTGGTCACAGACTGAAGTGTTTAATGTATGGTCATACATACAGGATAAGGGTCACACTGTGAGTAGTTACAGACTGAAGTGTTAAATGTATGGTCATACATACAGGTCTAGGGTCACACTGTGAGTAGTCACGGACTGAAGTGTTAAAAGTATGGTCATACATACAGGACTAGGGTCACACTGTTAGTGGTCACAGACTGAAGTGTTAAATGTATGGTCATACATACAAGACTAGGGTCACACTGTGAGTGGTCACAGACTGAAGTTTTTAATGTATGGTCATACATACAGGACAAGGGTCACTCTGTGAGAAGTCACAGGCTGAAGTGTTAAATGTATGGTCATACATACAGGACTAAGGTCACACAGTGAGTGGTCACAAACTGAAGTGTTAAATGATTGGTCATACACACAGGACTACGGCCACAGTGGGAGCGGTCACAGACTGATGTGTTAAATGTATGGTCATACATACAAGACTAGGGTCACACTGTGAGTGGTCACAGACTGAAGTGTTAAATTTGATGGTCATACATACAGGACTAGGGTCACACTGTTAGTGGTCACAGACTGAAGTGTTTAATGTATGGTCATACATACAGGACTAGGGTCACACTGTTAGTGGTCACAGACTGAAGTGTTTAATGTATGGTCATACATACAGGATAAGGGTCACACTGTGAGTGGTCACAGACTGAAGTGTTTAATGTATGGTCATACATACAGGACTAGGGTCACACTGTGAGTGGTCACAGACTGAAGTGTTAAATGTATGGTCATACATACAAGACTAGGGTCACACTGTGAGTGGTCACAGACTGAAGTGTTAAATGTACGGTCATACATACAAGACTAGGGTCACACTGTTAGTGGTCACAGACTGAAGTGTTTAATGTATGGTCATACATACAGGATAAGGGTCACACTGTGAGTAGTTACAGACTGAAGTGTTAAATGTATGGTCATACATACAGGTCTAGGGTCACACTGTGAGTAGTCACGGACTGAAGTGTTAAAAGTATGGTCATACATACAGGACTAGGGTCACACTGTTAGTGGTCACAGACTGAAGTGTTAAATGTATGGTCATACATACAAGACTAGGGTCACACTGTGAGTGGTCACAGACTGAAGTTTTTAATGTATGATCATACATACAGGACAAGGGTCACTCTGTGAGAAGTCACAGGCTGAAGTGTTAAATGTATGGTCATACATACAGGACTAGGGTCACACAGTGAGTGGTCACAAACTGAAGTGTTAAATGATTGGTCATACACACAGGACTACGGCCACAGTGGGAGCGGTCACAGACTGATGTGTTAAATGTATGGTCATACATACAAGACTAGGGTCACACTGTGAGTGGTCACAGACTGAAGTGTTAAATTTGATGGTCATACATACAGGACTAGGGTCACACTGTTAGTGGTCACAGACTGAAGTGTTTAATGTATGGTCATACATACAAGACTAGGGTCACACTGTTAGTGGTCACAGACTGAAGTGTTTAATGTATGGTCATACATACAGGATAAGGGTCACACTGTGAGTGGTCACAGACTGAAGTGTTTAATGTATGGTCATACATACAGGACTAGGGTCACACTGTGAGTGGTCACAGACTGAAGTGTTAAATGTATGGTCATACATACAAGACTAGGGTCACACTGTGAGTGGTCACAGACTGAAGTGTTAAATGAACGGTCATACATACAAGACTAGGGTCACACTGTTAGTGGTCACAGACTGAAGTGTTTAATGTATGGTCATACATACAGGATAAGGGTCACACTGTGAGTAGTCACGGACTGAAGTGTTAAAAGTATGGTCATACATACAGGACTAGGGTCACACTGTTAGTGGTCACAGACTGAAGTGTTAAATGCGTGGTCATATGTACAGGACTAGGGTCACACTATAATTTGTCACGGAAAGTAAGGTTGAATGAACGTGTCAACATGCATAGAGGCACAGCAACGTCCACAGGACTAGTCATGTAAGTGGTCACAGACATAGTGGTTGAATGCACGTGCCATATATGACCTTGGCACACTGTATGTGATGATAGACAATACATTTGAATACACGGGCCATACATTGCTCGTGTCACAATGAATGTGGTCAGACAGTAAAATTGAAGGCACGTGACATGTACATGTATGTCTGCTGTCACACTGCATGTGGTCACAAAGAGTAACGTTTAATGCACATATGATATATGTATGTTTGCTGACAGACCACCAGTGTGGGTACTGCAGTCTCCTACCCAACTTGATGAGGGGTTATGGCTGGAACCCAGGGAAGAAGATCTTTGAGTGGTTCGGCAACCAGTTAGAGGCAAAGACACATGACAAGGACATCACATTTAAGCAGGTACGAAAGACACCTATAACGTACAAAACCAGGCAGTCTCTGTCATATGCAGCAAGTGGTAGTCAATGCACCCCTACCCCAAAGCACCAGCAAGGATATCATCATCATCATCCTTCAGCACCAGATACTCTACTCCCGCGATTGCACCGAGTTTTCAATACACCTCCATCCTACTACGCCAAGATTCCAAAACACCCCCACCATGTTCGATGCACCTCCATCCTTCTGATGCTCTTAGCAATCCACCACACAGCACCAAGTGGAACCAACGTCCTCTGTAGCAGATATTCTTAGCAATCCACCACATAGCACCAAGTGGCACCACCGTCCTCTGTAGCAGATACTCTTAGCAATCCACCACACAGCACCAAGTGGCACCAACGTCCTCTGTAGCAGATATTTTTAGCAATCCACCACATAGCACCAAGTGGCACCACCGTCCTCTGTAGCAGATACTCTTAGCAATCCACCACACAGTACCAAGTGGAAACACCGACCTCTGTAGCAGGTGCACTTAGCAATTCACCACACATCAGCAAGTGGCACCACCGTCCTCTGTAGCAGATACTCTTAGCAATCCACCACACAGCACCAAGTGGCACCACCGTCCACTGTAGCAGATACTCTTAGCAATCCACCACACAGCGCCTAGTGGCACCACCGTCCTCTGTAGCAGATACTCTTAGCAATTCCCCACACAGCACCAAGTGGCACCACCGTCCTCTGTACCAGTAACTCTTAGCAATCCACCACACAGCACCATGTGGCACCACCGTCCTCTGTAGCAGATACTCTTAGCAATCCACCACACAGCACCATGTGGCACCACCGTCCTCTGTAGCAGATACTCTTAGCAATCCACCACACAGAACCTAGTGGCACCAACGTCCTCTGTAGCAGATACTCTTAGAAATTCACCACACAGCAGCAAGTGGCACCAACGTCCTCTGTACCAGTAACTCTTAGCAATCCACCACACAGCACCCAGCGGCACCACCGTCCTCTGTAGCAGATACTCTTAGAAATTCACCACACAGCACCTAGTGGCACCACCATCCTCTGTACAGTTGTACAGTTACACCCTCACACAACTTAACAGGAAACAGTTACACCCCAACACAACTTAACAGGTACAGTTACACCCTCACACAACTTAACAGGTACAGTTACATCCTCACACAACTTAACAGGAAACAGTTGCACCCTCACACAAATTAACAGGAAACAGTTACACCTTCACACAACTTAACAGTTACAGTTACACCCTCACACAACTTAACAGGTACAGTAACACCCTCACACAACTTAACAGGTACAGTTACACCCTCACACAACTTAACAGGTACAGTTACATCCTCACACAACTTAACAGTTATAATTACACCCTCACACAACTTAACAGGTACAGTTACACCCTCACACAACTTAACAGGTACAGTTACACCCTCACACAACTTAACAGGTATAATTACACCCTCACACAACTTAACAGGTACAGTAACACCCTCACACAACTTAACAGGTACAGTTACACCCCCACACATCTAACAGTTATAATTACACCCTCACACAACTAAACAGGTACAGTTACACCCTCACAAAACTTAACAGATACAGTTACACCCTCACACAGCTTAACAGGTACAGTTACACCCTAACACAACTTAACAGGTACAGTGACACCCCACACACAACTTAACAGGTACAGTTACACCCGCACACAATTTAACAGGTTTAATTACATCCTCACACAACTTAACAGGAAACAGTTGCACCCTCACACAAATTAACAGGAAACAGTTACACCTTCACACAACTTAACAGTTACAGTTACACCCTCACACAACTTAACAGGTACAGTAACACCCTCACACAACTTAACAGGTACAGTTACACCCTCACACAACTTAACAGGTACAGTAACATCCTCACACAACTTAACAGTTATAATTACACCCTCACACAACTTAACAGGTACAGTTACACCCTCACACAACTTAACAGGTACAGTTACACCCTCACACAACTTAACAAGTATAATTACACCCTCACACAACTTAACAGGTACAGTAACACCCTCACACAACTTAACAGGTACAGTTAAACCCCCACACAACTTAACAGTTATAATTACACCCTCACACAACTAAACAGGTAGAGTTACACCCTCACAAAACTTAACAGATACAGTTACACCCTCACACAGCTTAACAGGTACAGTTACACCCTAACACAACTTAACAGGTACAGTGACACCCCACACACAACTTAACAGGTACAGTTACACCCGCACACAACTTAACAGGTATAATTACACTCTCACACAATTTAACAGGTTTAATTAAATCCTCACACAACCTAACAGATATAGTTACACCTCACACAACTTAACATGTACAGTTACATCCTCATAAAACTTAACAGGTACAGTTACACCCTCACACTATCAACAATTAGAGATAGACCCTAACACAATTAAACAGGTATAGTTACACCCTAACACAACTTAACACGTAGAGTTACACCCCCACACAACTTAACAATTAGAGATACCCACGAACACTATTAACATGTAGATATACACCCTCACTCAACTTAACAGGTAGAGTTTCACCAGAACACGACTTAACAGGTAGAGTTACACCCTCACTCGACTTAATAGTTAAAATTACACCCTCACAGAACTAACAGGTACAGTTGCACCCTCACACAACTTAACATGAAGAGACACTACCTCACACTATTAACATGTAGAGATATACCCTCACACATCTTAACAGGTAGAGATACACCCTCACTCGACTTAACAGGTAGAGTTATTCCCTCACACTATTAACAGATAGAGATACACCCTTAAACAACGTAACAGGTGAAGCTACACCCTCACTCAACTTAACAGGTATAATTACACCCTCACTCAACTTAACAGGTACAGTAACACCCTCACACAACTTAACAGGTACAGTTACACCCTCACACAACTTAACAGTTATAATTACACCCTCACACAACTTAACATGTACAGTTACACCCCCACACAACTAAACAGGTACAGTTACAACCTCACAAAACTTAACAGGTACAGTTACACCCCCACACAACGTAACAGGTACAGTTACACCCTCACACAACTTAACAGGTACAGTTACACCCCCACACAACTAAACAGGTACAGTTACAACCTCACAAAACTTAACAGATATAGTTACACCCTCACACAACTTAACAGGTAGAGTTACACCCTCACTCGACTTAATAGTTAAAATTACACCCCCACACAACTAAACAGGTACAGTTACAACCTCACAAAACTTAACAGATATAGTTACACCCTCACACAACTTAACAGGTAGAGTTACACCCTCACACAACTTAACAGGTATAATTACACCCTTACACAGCTTAACAGGTACAGTCACACCCTCACACAGCTTAACAGGTATAATTACACCCTCACACAGCTTAACAGGTATAATTACACCCTTACACAGCTTAACAGGTAGAGTTACACCCTCATACAACTTAACAGGTACAGTTACACCCTCACACAACTTAACAGGTACAGATACACCCCTACACTACTTAACAGGGTGAGTAACACCCTCACACAACTTAACAGTTATAGTTACACCCTCACACAACTTAACATGTATAATTACACCTCACACAACTTAAAGGTATAATTACACCCTCACACAACTTAAAGGTATAATTACACCCTCACACAGCTTTACAGGTACAGTTACACCCTCACACAACTTAACAGGTACAGTTACTCCCTCAAACAACTTAACAGGTACAGTTACACCCTTACACAGCTTAACAGGTACAGTTACACCCTTACACAGCTTTACAGGTATAATTACACCCTCACACAACTTAACAGGTAGAGTTACACCCTCACACAACTTAACAGGTACAGTTACACCCTTACAGAGCTTAACAGGTAGAGTTACACCCTCACACAACTTAACAGGTACAGTTACACCCTCACACAACCTTACAGGTACAGATACACCCCTACATTACTTAACATGTGGAATTACACCCTCACACACCTAAACAGGTGGAGTTACACCCTTACACAACTTTACAGTTACAGTTACACCCCTACACTACTTAACAGGTATAATTACACCCTCACACAACTTGAAGGTATAATTACACCCTCACACAACTTAACAGGTACAGTTACACCCTCACACAACGTAACATGTAGAGGTAGACCCTCACCTTACCCTACAGTATCATAAACATTAATATCACCCCAACACTATTTTATCGGGTATAATAATATCCTCCACCATACTGTATTATTTCGCTCGTTAGATACGTTTGGAAACAACTCGTTGTAAGATAAATGGTATCTGACAGGCACTCGTGTAGTCATCTGTTTCTTACACACCCTAAAATCGCACCTTTTTAGCATCGAATCGATGCATTTTGTCTGTTCCCATGATCGCAATGGCGCATTAATACATAACACAACGGTCACGAGTGACGTCATCCGATGTATTGCTTACTGTTCATAAATAATGTGACCCTACACCTAAACCTAAAAACGTTTCCGCCATCTGTCGATTACAAAGGCGATGATGATAGTGCAAACTAGATAAGATCGAAGAACCCGCATGATGCCGAGTTAAATATATTCACCTCAAAGAAATGACCAAATATGTACAACTGTTTACTACCGTATGACATCACTGCCGGTGACCGACCTACAAAATGGCGTGTTCACTGACAACAGTACGCGGGATTTTCAGAGGAGGACTTTCGTTGAGTGAGGGATGGTATATGCATAAATTTGTCATGTAAGTGATCAGAAACAATCAGACAATCTGCGTACTGTTATTTATTGTTATGTTTTTGAAATGTACGTTTTATTTTAAAGGTTTTACAGAAGTATAAGAAAGAGCTGTGTATTGTAGTGACCAACCTGAACCAAATGAGTACCGAATACTGCCACCCCAAAACAACACCGGATATGCCTATTCGGCATGCAGTGCGCATGTCAATGGCAATACCAGGTAAGGTTATTTTTGAAAAGGGAAAACAGGACAACATTAATCTACCCACTATGGTAGGTCCTCGTTAAAATATATGCTCTTGGGGAAGATTGTGTTTATTTCGGTAAAGGATCCATCGGTTCGTTATGCAGAAGCATATTTCATCAAACAATGACAAGATATGGAGTGCCCAAAACAAAAGACACAAGAGACGAAAAGTTCACCTCAAAAAGAATTTTTTTTGGTCTTTATGAATCACTATCAAATAGTGATTATACCAGGTTCTCGCGAAAAGGTGAGCGTACATTGCCCCATCGGTTGCACCCGTCACAAACACACGCAAAGGCAATTCAATTGTTCAACTGTAAAAACACGGGAACACATAGAACAAGTCAAAATGGGAAACATCATCGGACCTAGTTTTTGTCACTGATGCGTCAAATTAATAAATATCCTCATCGTGTCTAATATAAAACTTTTTGAAAGCTTTACTGAGGCCTTGAATGGTGTAACCTTAATCACTTTTGACAGAAAGATCATGCTCAGTTGTACCTCAAAAGAAACACCTGATAAGAAGGTGTATTTATCGAACATGAATTGCAATCAGGATAAACACTTTTATAACTTGTTCACGGAGAGGTGATTTGTTTCAGGCATGTTCAAGGCCCCTAAGTATAAACTACATGACCAGGAGGATACGTTTGTTGATGGCGGGGTCCTGTGTAACTACCCCATACACTGCTATGACGGTATGTGTCCTGTTTATTTACTCCGCACACTGCTAAGACGGTATGTGTCATGTTTTCCTACTCCTTACACTGCTAAGACGGTATGTGTCCTATGTAACTACCCCACACGCTGCTATGACTGTATGTGTCCTGTGTAACTACTCCTTACACTGCTATGACGGTATGTGTCCTATGTAACCACCCCAAACACTGATATGACGGTATGTGTCATGTTTTACTACTCCTTACACTGCTATGACTGTATGTGTCCTGTGTAACTACTCCTTACACTGCTATGACGGTATGTGTCCTATGTAACCACCCCAAACACTGATATGACGGTATGTGTCATGTTTTACTACTCCTTACACTGCTATGACGGTATGTGTCCTGTGTAACTACTCCATACAATGCTATGACGGCATGTGTCCTATGTAACTACCCCATACGCTGCTATGACTGTATGTGTCCTGTGTAACTACTCCACACACTGCTATGACTGTATGTGTCCTGTGTAACTACTCCTTACACTGCTATGACGGTATGTGTCCTATGTAACCACCCCAAACACTGATATGACGGTATGTGTCATGTTTTACTACTCCTTACACTGCTATGATGGTATGTGTCCTGTGTAACTACTCCATACAATGCTATGACGGCATGTGTCCTATGTAACTACCCCACACGCTGCTATGACTGTATGTGTCCTGTGTAACTACTCCACACACTGCTATGACGGCATGTCTCCTTGGTAACTACTCCACACGCTGCTATGACTGTATGTGTCCTGTGTAACTACCCAACACACTGCTATGACGGCATGTGTCCTGTGTAACTACCCCACTCACTGCTACGACGGCGTGTGTCCTTTGTAACTACTCCACACACTGCTGTGACGGTATGTGTCCTGTGTAACTACTCCACACACTGCTATGACTGTATGTGTCCTGTGTAACTACTCAACACAATGCTATGACGGCATATCTCCTTGGTAACTACTCCACACACTGCTACGACGGCATGTCTCCTTGGTAACTACTCCACACACTGCTATGACTGTATGTGGCCTGTGTAACTACTCCACACACTTCTATGTCTGTATGTGTCCTGAGTAACTACTCCACACACTGCTACGACGGTATGTGTCCTGTGTAACTACTCCACACACTACTACGATGTCATGTGTCCTGTGTAACTACTCCAGACAATGCTATGACGGGATGTCTCCTTGGTAACTACTCCACACACTGCTATGACGGCATGTCTCCTTGGTAACTACTTCACACACTGCTATGACTGTATGTGTCCTTTGTAACTACCCCACACACTGCTACGACGGCATGTCTCCTTGGTAACTACTCCACACACTGCTACGACGGCATGTCTCCTTGGTAACTACTCCACACGCTGCTATGACTGTATGTGTCCTGTGTAACTACCCAACACACTGCTATGACGGCATGTGTCCTGTGTAACTACCCCACTCACTCCTACGACGGCGTGTGTCCTGTGTAACTACTCCACACACTGCTACGACGGTATGTGTCCTGTGTAACTACTCCACACACTGCTATGACTGTATGTGTCCTGTGTAACTACTCCACACAATGCTATGACGGCATGTCTCCTTGGTAACTACTCCACACACTGCTACGACGGCATGTCTCCTTGGTAACTACTCCACACACTGCTATGACTGTATGTGGCCTGTGTAACTACTCCACACACTTCTATGTTTGGATGTGTCCTGAGTAACTACTCCACACACTGCTATGACTGTATGTGTCCTGTGTAACTACTCCACACACTGCTACGACGGTATGTGTCCTGTGTAACTACTCCACACACTGCTACGATGTCATGTGTCCTGTGTAACTTCTCCAGACAATGCTATGACGGGATGTCTCCTTGGTAACTACTCCACACACTGCTATGACGGCATGTCTCCTTGGTAACTACTCCACACACTGCTATGACTGTATGTGTCCTTTGTAACTACCCCACACACTGCTACGACAGCATGTCTCCTTGGTAACTACTCCACACACTGCTATGACGGCATGTGTCCTGTGTAACTACCCAACACACTGCTATAACGGCATGTGCCCTGTGTAACTACCCCACTCACTGCTACGACGGCGTGTGTCCTGTGTAACTTCCCGAAACACTGCTATGACTGTATGTGTCCTTTGTAACTACTCCACACACTTCTACGACGGTATGTGTCCTGAGTAACTACTCCACACACTGCTATGACGGTATGTGTCCTGTGTAACTACTCCACACACTGCTATGTCTGTATGTGTCCTGTGTAACTTCCCCAGACGCTGCTACGACTGTATGTGTCCTGTGTAACTACACCACACACTGCTACGACGGCGTGTGTCCTGTGTAACTACTCCACACACTGCTACGACGGTATGTGTCCTGTGTAACTACTCCACACACTGCTATGTCTGTATGTGTCCTGTGTAACTACTCCACACACTGCTACGATGGCATGTCTCCTGTGTAACTACCCCACTCAATGCTACGACGGCGTTTGTCCTTTGTAACTACTCCACACACTGCTGTGACGGTAGGTGTCCTGTGTAACTACTCCACACACTGCTATGGCTGTATGTGTCCTGTGTAACTACCCCACACACTGCTACGACGGTATGTGTCCTGTGTAACTACTCCACACACTGCTACGACGGTATGTGTCCTGTGTAACTACCCCAGACGCTGCTATGACTGTATGTGTCCTTTGTAACTACCCCACACACTGCTACGACAGCATGTCTCCTTGGTAACTACTCCACACACTGCTACGACGGCATGTCTCCTTGGTAACTACTCCACACTCTGCTATGACTGTATGTGACCTGTGTAACTACTCCACACACTTCTATGTCTGTATGTGTCCTGAGTAACTACTCCACACACTGCTATGACGGTATATGTCCTGGGTAACTACTCCACATACTTCTATGACTGTATGTGTCCTGTGTAACTACTCCACACGCTGCTATGACTGTATGTGTCCTTTGTAACTACCCCACACACTGCTACGACGGCATTTCTCCTTGGTAACTACTCCACACACTGCTATGACTGTATGTGACCTGTGTAACTTCTCCAGACAATGCTATGACGGGATGTCTCCTTGGTAACTACTCCACACACTGCTATGACGGCATGTCTCCTTGGTAACTACTCCACACACTGCTATGACTGTATGTGTCCTTTGTAACTACCCCACACACTGCTACGACAGCATGTCTCCTTGGTAACTACTCCACACACTGCTACGACGGCATGTCTCCTTGGTAACTACTCCACACACTGCTATGACTGTATGTGTCCTTTGTAACTACTCCACACACTTCTACGACGGTATGTGTCCTGTGTAACTACTCCACACACTGCTACGACGGTATGTGTCCTGTGTAACTACTCCACACACTGCTATGTCTGTATGTGTCCTGTGTAACTTCCCCAGACGCTGCTATGACTGTATGTGTCCTGTGTAACTACACCACACACTGCTACGACGGCGTGTGTCCTGTGTAACTACTCCACACACTGCTACGACGGTATGTGTCCTGTGTAACTACTCCACACACTGCTACGATGGCATGTCTCCTGTGTAACTACCCCACTCAATGCTACGACGGCGTGTGTCCTTTGTAACTACTCCACACACTGCTGTGACGGTAGGTGTCCTGTGTAACTACTCCACACACTGCTATGGCTGTATGTGTCCTGTGTAACTACCCCACACACTGCTACGACGGTATGTGTCCTTGGTAACTACTCCACACACTGCTATGACTGTATGTGTCCTTTGTAACTACTCCACACACTTCTACGACGGTATGTGTCCTGTGTAACTACTCCACACACTGCTACGACGGTATGTGTCCTGTGTAACTACTCCACACACTGCTATGTCTGTATGTGTCCTGTGTAACTTCCCCAGACGCTGCTATGACTGTATGTGTCCTGTGTAACTACACCACACACTGCTACGACGGCGTGTGTCCTGTGTAACTACTCCACACACTGCTACGACGGTATGTGTCCTGTGTAACTACTCCACACACTGCTACGATGGCATGTCTCCTGTGTAACTACCCCACTCAATGCTACGACGGCGTGTGTCCTTTGTAACTACTCCACACACTGCTGTGACGGTAGGTGTCCTGTGTAACTACTCCACACACTGCTATGGCTGTATGTGTCCTGTGTAACTACCCCACACACTGCTACGACGGTATGTGTCCTGTGTAACTACTCCACACACTGCTACGACGGTATGTGTCCTGTGTAACTACCCCAGACGCTGCTATGACTGTATGTGTCCTTTGTAACTACCCCACACACTGCTACGACGGCATGTCTCCTTGGTAACTACTCCACACACTGCTACGACGGCATGTCTCCTTGGTAACTACTCCACACGCTGCTATGACTGTATGTGTCCTGTGTAACTACCCAACAAACTGCTATGACGGCATGTGTCCTGTGTAACTACCCCACACACTGCTACGACGGTATGTGTCCTGTGTAACTACTCCACACACTGCTACGACGGTATGTGTCCTGTGTAACTACCCCAGACGCTGCTATGACTGTATGTGTCCTTTGTAACTACCCCACACACTTGTACGACGGCATGTCTCCTTGGTAACTACTCCACACACTGCTACGACGGCATGTCTCCTTGGTAACTACTCCACACGCTGCTATGACTGTATGTGTCCTGTGTAACTACCCAACAAACTGCTATGACGGCATGTGTCCTGTGTAACTACCCCACTCACTGCTACGATGGCATGTGTTCTGTGTAACTACCCCACACACTGCTACGACGGCATGTCTCCTTGGTAACTACTCCACACACTGCTATGACGGCATGTGTCCTGGGTAACTACCCCACTCACTGCTACGACGGCGTGTGTCCTGTGTAACTACCCCAAACACTGCTATGACTGTATGTGTCCTTTGTAACTACTCCACACACTTCTACGACG